TCTTAACCCAAAAGTACATTCCTGAATAAACGCATGTACTTGTACTCAAACGACAAACTGCGGAGTACCTAACCTAAATTCTCACCCCCCCCAATTCATCATCCATGTTAACTAGGTACCTAGGTACTTTGATACCTAATCCTTATTATGTACGATTTATTGTAAATATTTCTATCATTCTTCTTTTCACATTCCTTCTTCGGAGCGTAAGACACGGAAACTTCGGAACTTATAATTCCTAGCTCGGAGCTACCTAGGTACCTAACTGTTACCTAACCAACCATTCCGGATTAAGTAATATTCTGAGAGCCGTAGAGATGGATAGGATAGGATATTTCTTCTTTTTCTTCTTATCTGGTTCCTCCTTAACATAGGTAGGTACGGTTTTACAGCTCACTGTGTAGATCTGATGAGGTGGCATCCTTTGTGGGGTCATAATTTGGACTCTTCGCATGGCCGAGCCCCTTGAATGCGCTTCCGGTCGGCATTCCGTTAGGTAGTCGCATGTTATTGCGTTCCCGCGCATTTCCTTGTCTTGGAAGGGGCAACAATATTTTCCGGTCCTCTTTTATCGGCATTGTTTTTATTTTCATTTTTATTTTTATTTTTTTTAATGAAGGGAGAAGTTGCGGTGAACCACGAAAGGTAATACGCAAGTTGCCAAAACGGAACAAATAGTCTACTTACTAAGATGGAGTCCTATGGGACTTTGATTTCAGCTCCTCAACCTGTCTTTGTCGATGATGATTTTCTAGCCTCAGCGTGTGAAGACATTATGTAGGCCGGTAAGGTAATGCACGATGTGGTAGGCCAATAGAGTCTTGATGCGACGTAAATGGTACTGATGATTTCGCTCCGGCGAGGCTGCTCCCCTTCCCTGCTGGAGTCGTCAAGCTCCGGCATTGCAGCCGAATACAGCATTGCTGACGATCATATCCGTGATGTCACGTCCACTGACAGGCCAACAAGCCTTACTGAAAATGGCAGCATAAGCAGGCGATCGCATACCTTGTGTCTGTTTAAGATTTTTGTCCCTGGCCTTTATCGGCGGAGGTGAGGCTGTTTCGAGAACGGGACATGTGCTATGCCTGTGTCCTGCATGGCTGATCTTGGCCTGATTCATACCCCATCGCGCCTCCAACGATGGTTTCGAGCTGTCCAATGATGCAAACTGCTATCTTCTCTCATCCTCGCGCCTACATAGCGTTTCGAATTTGGTTGGCGGACAAGAGCGAGACACCAATGCTACCGCATCTGCTCACCAACTGCCGACACTTATTCCAACTGACAGAGGGTGATCTACACTTGATTAAAGGTGGCCATGCACTTACACTTACATAGGCGGCTTGCGCGTCTGTTAGTGTTTCCATATCAGCCATAACCAGCCATATCGCTATCAAAACTTGATGGAGATAGGCAGATAAACTCTCCCCTCCGTAGTAATTGGATACTAGTAATTGATCGATCAGCAGAATTGGACATTTCCTATCAAGCGGTGATTTCGTCGACTGCTACTCCAAGCCTGGCAACATAATATAAATAGCGTCTGCCGAAGAAGCTTGGCCCCAACAGTCGCGTGCGCCTAATTACGATTTTGGGGGGCGATGATACTGTAATCATCCAGGATAATATCGACTCGGGCCAGTCACATTGCTCGACGATCACGAGATGCTGTAGCGCGAGTGGTTACTGGGAGGGGCAACATGAGATTGCCGATATGGATGAATAAGAGCGGTATGGTTAGGTATGGTCTACTATGTATGTATGGTATGTAAGGTATGTAAGGTATGCTGGGTATGCTAGTTATGTATTGTGTAGTGAGTGTATGTGCATCTCTTGCAGGACTTGGGATACCTCTATTGAAAAGTTCGTGCAGATGGTTGATTCAAAACCGTTCGACGACATCGACTTGTTGCAGTCTTCCTGCCGTGATAATCGAGTGATGGGAAGACATATATTTCTTGGTGTGACATTGTGCATCTGCAAGTCATACATAATATCTGCAGTACGATAATGCTGAAGGGGGCTATTCAACGGGGGAATCAAGACTACGGGTCTCGGAGTAAGAACATAAAAAGGAAGAAAAAGAGTCGGCGTTAGTCATAATGATCAACCGAAATGATGCCATCGTCATTCTCTTTTGTCTATGGAAAAGGAACTAAAAAGGCGTCTCAACTTTTAACTGTTACCTTTTTGCCTTACCTGTACCTAATTGCCCAGGGTATCTTGGGTACCTACCTACCCGGTACGTATCCGCCTCCTGGCTCAATGGCTCTGCCTTCAATCGATTCTAGAATGGCAATTGGCTGCAGCATGTATCACTACCTGGCTGATACCCCACCATGAATAATCAGGTGTAATCGCTGATTGACTTTGTTCGTACTATCAGGTGCTTCTAGTATTCTTCCATCATCCCTCGCCGCTTTATACTGTACGGCTAAAGAAGAACAGGGGTTGTCGACGGACTATTCCGCAAGGGTACAGAGTGCCCCTCTTTCGCGATCGGAGCAGGTCATATGATTGGACGTGGTGGCTCAATTCTGCTTCTTCTAGCGCCATTCTAGCGTAGCGCCACTTTTTCAATACGTAACACACAGTACGTATGTCACCTCACCTTGGCTGAAGCGACCGGGGCGGCCAACTAGAAAGAAGTTGGACGCTGAGAAAATGGTGAAAGATGACGGCAACATGAAGAATAGTCAGGCCGTCAGGTAAGGCTTCGAAACCTAACCTTATTATTGTTCAGTGCCATACCTACATTAGGTACTATGTCATATCGCAACAAAGCGGCACTAGAGCAGGTAGTTGGGAAAAAATCATTCGCGCTATCAGGTAGCCTTATTATTTGTTTCGCTGGTCTTGCTGGTCTCATAACCTTAGGAGGTACCTAATAAGGGTGCGCACGTATATACGAGAGATAAGATCAGGTACTTGTACTATACAATACCTACAATACGTAATAATAGCGAGGGAAGAAAATGCCTACCTAAAGTTAATTGAGGGCGTTCGCCTAGCCCGATTTGCTTCTCTTTTCAGTCTTCCCACCCCTCTCTCTTCTTCCGGTTTTGGGATGTTACGTAGCCGGGTTGGCAGGGTCAGCGCGATCATCAATAGTTTTGTGTCATATTCTAGAAGAATAGAAGAATAGAAGAATAGAAGAAGAATTCCTAAAAGAATACCGTCAAATCCCGTCCTCCCGTCCTCCCGCCCACCTTTTTTTATAAAATCGTCAAATCATGAGCAAGTTGAAGAATTTTCGATGTTTCTATTGTTTCTAGATAAAAAAACGAAAAGCACCTGGGCAATTACGATAGGCTAGAGTCTACGGTATCTTCCATTGTACTTGACATACTTGATATATGTTTTGTACCCAAGTACCTAACCGTACAGTGCAGTGGATTTCGTACCTGTAGAAGATTTTCTTAGTCAAGAGTTCCACCATAAGGTTTAAAGGGGGCACCCATCAAAAGATCCCAGTCATTCGCCATACCGTCAGGTACCTTGATCACCCCCAAGGGTGGGTACCAGTACTTGTCTCCCTTTTCCCTTTAATCTTCCTTCTGTCTCCCACCCGCCTTCTATTCCTAGTTTCTGAGTGTTCCATCCTATCCTGTCTACTATTTTGCCTACTATTTTGTCTACTTATCAACCATTGAAGATCCCTCTTTCTCTCTTCGAAGCTTCACTTTTTTAAACTCTTGGCACCCTTTGCAACCTTCGACAACCTTTGACACCGTCATTCCAAATTTGTCTCGACTTCATTAATCAATCCATTCTTCATTCAATAAATCTCCATTGACATCGACATCGAAATCGAAATCGACATCGCCTATAGGAAAATAACTATACGATACGATACGAAAAAGAACTATATGAAATTAGGAAACGGGAAACAGGAAACACGCCTCAATTGCTAATACTATTATATTTAAATCACTAATTTCCTTCGACACCGGCTCAGCGCCTTTGGTTTTTTTTTTTTTTTTTTGGAACTATACCAACCCGACTAACGTCTCTCTCAACGGCTATCCTGCTGTCGCTGTTACGTCTGGTGGATCTAACTGTTGTGTTTTGGTCCTTCGTTGCGGATCATCTGTGGCCTTCCAGCTCGTCCTTCATTCCACACGGCCTGCCGTACTAGTACGCTGTTAAACCAGACGACCGTTGCTTGTCGGATTTGTTGCACCATCTTGCTCTAGAAGATCGCTAGAAACTCAGGAACCTTACGACTTTGCCGGACCTACGAATTCGTCCTCGCCTGGTCTGAGAGAACCGACTTGACCAAAAAGAAAGCATATTTTCCGTCATGCCCATCTGGATTTGTTGACCTCGAATATCAAATAGTCCATTGATTTACTTAACGACTGTATTAACTTGTCGCTGAACTCGAAACTCTTTTAGCAGGGGGGGACGTTATCAAATTTCATCTCAGCCGCCTCATAACTGCTGAGCCTTTTCATAATCAAACTTGGTTCTCACCTTAGGTCTGCTAGTGAGATTCAGCCTATTATTTTTTTTATAGACATCTCCTGAGATTGTGTCGGAAAGAAACTTTCTCAACTCCACTCGGATTGTTGGCGGTTCTCTCATTGCGCTGCCGTCCCTTGATTCACCAATTCGTATTGGCTAGGATAAGACGGTGTCCTGGTTAGCCGACTTAACTCTAGGTATCTTGAAAGTTGCTTGATATCTGCTGTTACCCGTGTAGTGCCTGGACGGGAGCCTACTGATTGGTTAAAAAGACTTGGCCTTCAGGAATACACGGGCTGCCTGCAGATGATGAAGGCAGCTTGAAGATAAGCTAGAGCAAAGTATTTTGTACGTTTCCAGAGTCTCGTTACGAAACAGTCTTGTCAAACAGCAAGCTTGCCAATTGCATGGCGTTATAGCTTGTTTTGGGTTAAATTCGCTGCAAGAGCTCCTGTTTGCTCAGAGTTACACAGCCAGGCGGATTACCCGATACTTCTAAGGTTGTTCCTCTCTCTAGCTTCAAAGGAATAATGGGAAAACCCAGATTACGAGGAAGCTCGCCAGTCTACTTGAACCAATCTCAATCGGACTTGTCACGTCCACCGTCAGTCTTCGAGGATTGGGACCAAGAAACTGCAATGGAATCCTCACGCCCTACGAGCCTGGCTATACCGCGCACAGGTTCGCCCTTCACCAACCCACCCACGCTGTCGGAGATCCTCTCCAATACAGCACCGCCGCCATGGACGCTGAGTTCTTTCATGGCCTACTTATCTCAAAATCACTGCCTAGAAACTCTTGAGTTTATAATGGATGCAGAACGGTACATGATTATGTATCATCAGATCGCCCAGGGTCATGCACCTAACGGACCGGCGACAATATGCTCGTTATGGCGGAAAGTCATCGATGCGTATATTATGCCATGCGCGCCTCGAGAAGTAAATCTTCCGGCAGACGTTCGCGATCGTCTTCTCCAGCTTCCCTGCTGCAAGGCAAACCCTCCCAGTCCCTCTGAACTCGACGAAGCAGTTCAGATTGTGCGAGAGCTAATAAATGATTCCGTCCTTGTGCCTTTTCTTGAGTCTGTCGTCTCAGCTACGGCTGAATCGCGTGCTGAGGAAGACCCTCAAGAATATAGACAAGGACGCTCACGCCTTCGAATACCCAGGGATATCGGATACGACGACGAAGCAAGCCAGTCACCTAGGTCGTCCTATCTTCCGCATTTCATTATGGGACGTGGTGTAGCTGGTAACCGGTCTACATCCGCCTCGGTCGAGACAATAGTTGATTTAGTGATTGACGATATTAGCCCGAATTCGACTCCTGGAGTCGAACCAATGACACCGCCTACAACACCACCCACCTCGGATCTTGCGTTCAATACTTCGCCTAACACTCTGCAAAAAGCGATTTCGGGAAATAGTTGGAAGAAGATGGGTGCCAAGTTAGGGTTGACAAGGAAGAGCAAATCCGTTCGTCGCGCAGGTTCAACATCTAGCCAACCCCCATTATGAGGGTTACAGGTCGCGCCATCACCTGACCTCTCCGTTTCTGTGAGTAGTAACAGCTCGACGCCCACTTTACGAGAGGCTTCCAGTATGAGTACGCTGTGGGAGGATCCCCACCCCGGCGAAAAATTGGAGATTCCTTCTGGGGGTTCTGCTGGATCATACACTTGTTCGCAGAATGTCGATGGAGATGTCACGGGTGGCGTGGCCGTGAAAGCGCGTGGCGCATATCAAAATAATGAATCATGTACGGTTGGGCGTGATGTTCGGTGTCGTCGCCGCAGCACCAAGCCCAAACCGGTGAAGATTCCTGCTAGAGTGGTTGAGGAGCCGGATACGAAAGGTGGCCCGGTAGTTATGCCTCAACCACGTGGGTTTGTAAAAAGACCACTACACCTTCTACGTTCCCCCGGGTCCTTCCATAGTTTTAATTATGAAACGGATACCGAGACAGAGGCCAGCGCCGAGACTGGAACTCCCGTTAGTGATGCGGAAACAGATCAATCCGAAATTACTATCGGCCGGGCCAGCCTCAGCAACTTTTCGAATTGCCTAGGCATATCGCAAGAAGATGACGATACGTCTCTTACTGTTGTCGATTCCGACGCCTATGCGCGAGCCAGCAATGTCGACGACGCCTATGGCTGGGAAGCGGAGCTTGAGCGCAAGATGAAGTGCAGAGTCAGTACGGATTCTGTGTGCTCTTACCGCCATCACAACCAGCAATACCGGAATTCGGATAGCGGTATGCGAGGCCTCCTACATCGCGTTTTTTCCGCATCTGGGAGGAGAGTCAATTCCGGATTTTAGATCTACGTTTTATTTTTGCCATGAAAGATGGTATTTATTGAATTACGCGAGACGGATTAATGAGTCGATCTACTTTTTATCGTTTTCAGCAGAGCGGCTTTGCAAAAGTTTTTGACTTACCGTGGTCATCATCGGCGGGTTTGAAATGCATCTGGTTATTTTATTTTTTTGGTTCATCATTCAACACGGCGTTATTATCCGGACGGCCAGGCAACTGGGTCCTACGGCGGCAAGCATCAAAATAAACCGGGTCAAATATTGGCATAGAATGGGAAATCAATAAGGTTTTTCTTTTTCTTTTGGCGAGGCGTTCATACGGGACAGGGTTTGGATATCACGACTATTTTTTTTTAGCTAGATGTAACGAATTTCCGCTCAACGTTAATTTTTTTTTGTTGTTGTTCTTGGGTCGGTGGGAAGGGAGGTATCGAACAAAGCAAAGCAAAGTAGCAACATGGTTTGCAAAAAGGACATTTTTTGGCTCTAACTTTACAACTTGCGCAAGCATTGTATACTGTACATTGTTATAGAGCGGGAACTATTTGGGCAAGACAAGAATAAGACCACCAGACCAGACCGGGCAAGACAGACAAACGGGAGAGTTTATGTGCTGTTGTTATGGTTATATCCAAATCCGTATAGCTTATCGGGATATATCCGTAAATCTCCTTGGGTTGGTTAAACTAAGTAAGAGGAGCCTAATGAATATAGTATGAAAGTCCACGTTGATTGAGATTCATGAGGAATGAATGAATGAATGAATATTTATATTGGACATGATGCTAGGTATCTTATTAAAAGTACTTTAACCATCTAATAATCCTGTACAATGGTTTCCAAGAGCTAGGTGTTAAACTGCCAACCTACCTTGTATCAACAGTCAACGCGACCTGTATGGTGTGAGGTATGTATGAGGTATGTATGAGGTATGTATATCCCATTATCAGAATAGCTCTCAAACAGCACCCCAGATCCAAATCTACTATTCATAGTCTTCATTTTCTATTTGCTATATCGACTATCAAATCCATTACAGCTACAGGCCATGTCATGTCATGTCATGTCATGTCATGCCGCTATGAATTTCCCATCACCATCACCATCGCCATCGCCATCAGCCTTGAGCAGCAAGCGACGACAATCAACATAAGGCGACGGAAATGCTCCTCCTCCTCCTCCTTAAAATGGCACCCAAGGAAAATAGCAAAACCCGCGCCAGAATTGCTCCATCCAGCCGGCCGTCTACATCTTCGAATTAACAGGTAAGGGTGGTTTTCTTTTTATACCCAACAAAAAACCCCTCATTTCCCCCCGTCTCTTTTAGTTATCTCTAACCTAACTACCTAGGTAAAAACTCTCGCTTTCTCTCCCCTACCATCTCCTCTCCTTTGGTCCATCCGTACGCTCTTTTATATCTAATAATTTACTCCTCTACAACGGGGGGCTTGTTGTGCCTCGAGTACATCTTGTACTCGAGTGAAGAGCTGAAGTCGAGCTTGCCCTTCTCGACTTGGGCTCTGGTGACGGAAAGCATCGGCTCGGGCAGACCCATCGACTGCAAGAATACTACGGCTAAAATTGAGGTTTTGAATCAGCATCTGTCCTTCCAAGACAGGCATGAGGAAATAATATTGATAACAGGTCATGTTACTTACTGTCCTTCCATTCCCGCTCCTCTCGTTTTCGGTCCCACTTCAGCTCCTGGCTCATGATGTCGATGACCTTAGGCAGGGACTCAAGTGCGGCTTGGGCGTTCAGGAATGCCAATCTCGTTCTCCGTGCGATGACGTCAACGGCAGTCTGCGCGTACTCGTTCTGAACGGCATATCTGATTTCGCCATCCACAAAGGGGTAAAGACGAGCTATCCGCTCTCCCCTCGCGGGAAATCGCAGGTCCGTCGGCTTGCACATAGCTGCGACAGTCCACGCTCTGTCACCGTAGCTTTCTGTCAGGTGCTTGGCGACCTCGGTCTCGATGCCGAAGTGCTGGATCAAGTTGATGAACAAGGTCTTGCTGAAGCCATGAGCACCGACTAGTCGGACGTTGTGAGTCTGGCAGGATCCGTCTAGGATTGCACCGTCGTCTATGGCTTCGGTGCCACTGACTCGTGGTGCGTTAGGGTAGGGCTTGGTGGGAAGGTTGAATTCCTTGACTGCTGCATCTACGCAATCCTCCGCCATTTGTCGGTAGGTTGTCCATTTTCCACCCGCACATGTTACGAGACCGGAGCTGGAAATATCAACAAGGTGGTTTCGTACTAGTGATTGCGTGTTTTGGGCCTTGGGGTCTTTGACGAGGGGACGAATGCCGGCCCATGCTGCGAGCACGTCGCCGCGGCGGACATGGATATCAGGAGAGAGATAATGGCTAACTTCGTTCAAAATCCATTGGATCGACTTCTCATCGGGAAGAGGGTTCGGGGTGATAGATGTAGGTTCGTCAGTCGTGCCTGCAATTGTGTTTCCTTGCCACGGGAGGAAGAAAATGACTCGTCCGTCTGATGTCGATGGATCGATCAATCCCATGTTTGAAGGACTGTAATAACCGGGTAAGATGACGTGAACACCCGAAGCGGGTGCGACAATTTCTTTACAATCCTGGTCGTCAAGTTTTCGGATAGAATCGGTAAAGGGACCAGTGCAGTTGACGACACACTTGGCTTTGACGGCAATAGGTTCAGATTTCTTCCCATTACGCTCCTCAATCGTATCCTTGACCACCGCACCATTTAGCTTGCCGTTCTCATCCTTTGTTAGACCAGTCACCTCGGCATGGTTCAGTACAGTAGCTCCATATACCGCTGCGGTCATAGCAATAGAGACGTTCATTCTAGAGTCGTTGTGGGCGCCGTCGTAATATACCAGAGCACCGACGAGATCAGTTTGCTTCAACATAGGGAAAGCATCCAGAGCCTTACTCCTGGTCAAGAAGTAAGAACTCTCAATACCTTCGCTGCCAGCGAGGAAATCGTAGAACTTAGTACCAGCCCAATAATATGGTGCCTTCCACCACTTATCCAGGGGAAGCATAATAGGTAGCCATGAACTCAGGTGAGGAGCTGTCTGCAAGAAGTATTTGCGCTCCTTGAGGGCCTCCTTGACTAATTGGTACTGACTGTAATCCAAGTTCCATACAGCCTTTTCCAAGTATCTCACGCCACCATGTACAAGCTTAGTACTTTTACTACTGGTGCCACTGCTAAAATCATCTCTTTCGACGATTGCTACCTTGAGACCTCTAGTAACAGCATCCAACGCAACACCTGATCCAGTGGCTCCACCGCCAATAACAAGCATATCATACTCTTCATCTGGTCTGGTGCTCTTTTTTAAGTCGGCTATTTGCTCTTCTCGTGATTTTACTTTCGGAAACCTAGGGAGCTTAAATGTACCGTCGGCGCCGTAGATTGGGGGAGGAACTGCAGGGCCTTCGAAGCCTGGAATATTCCTGGGTCGATATGAGTATAGAAGCGCACCACCGCCGACCGCGGCGATTGTGGTGGGAAGGGCAATGCGCCTCAATCCTCTACCTAATCTGTTCATGTTGAGAGAGTTCGTCTCGGATTAGATTAATACTGAGATGTGTCTTTTGATTTGCACTGCCAGAATCTCTCTGGCAATGCTGGCTAGGCCTAGCTGTAGACACAGAATTGTGTTCAACTTCTTCCGGCTCGAGGGTTATATATTATACAAGAAAGAGTGTGCAGAGCTGGAGGGAAGAAGAATGATTTAATTGCCTTGAGGCTTGAATTACTGAGGCTAGAGGTTGTAAAAAGGGGAAGAATAATTAGGGAAATAGAGAAATTTCGCTCAGTCAGAATAAGTGACGAAATTGAATGGTGTTAGTACAAGGCGTGGGGGGTGAGTGACCACGCGGTCAGGCACTTTTCCTTTCAGTGGAGAAGTAAATGGAGAAGAATGGGGACTGGAACTACGTGTAGAAGCTGATATCAACATTGTATTCGTATGTACAAGTTACGCCGAAAGAATGGAAATATAGTGTACACAGTTAATAGGGAAAAAAGGGCTTGCTTTTAGTGTAAGTCGAAGTATTAATAACTGGGCTGGGTCTGCAACTCCCTTCCTAGAGTGTAAAAAAAAAAGAGTGAGCTGCTTCCTTCCATCCCTCCAATACCCCACATGGGGCCTGGGCATGTTTGGGGATGCGGCAACCAGGACGGCTGGTTTCGGTATAGGTTAGGTACCTACCTCCTAAGGTACTTAAATGTGTTATGTAGCGCAAAGGTGATTAGCACAAGGTTATGCATAGTATATCGATATAGTTCAATTGATTGGGGGAAGAACTTTCCTACAGGATTCGATACAGGTTAACCTAGATAGGTAACCCGTAGACTCGGCCATAGATGTTCCCATTCCCATTCCCATGAACCAATTGGCCACCTGGTAAATGAATCATAGATATGTGGTATCTCCTTTATTACCTAAGTTGATTCCACAAAGATTATCGATTGTCTTTTATCCATAGAACTCGTAATCTCATGATTTTGTTGAGAAATTATTGAGAAATTATATTGTTTGTTGCTCCTCTCAGTAATTACGTAGGGTATTAATAACCTAGGTAGGTAAATAGGGGGGATCCATACGAGGTAGCTTCTTTCGCGCGTCTCGTCATACCTTCACTGACGTATTCTTTCTTATCGTCATTACGGGTTCGGGGTAATAGCGCCCAACCTACATACTATGTAGAGATAGTACCTTTGGGGTTAGACTAAAACGATTTTTAGTACGGATCCGTACATGTGATTAAATTTTAACCTCTAACCTAATAACTTTCAATAGTGTATTGCTACTAGGTACCGTAAGTAATAACAACAGCAATTCCAATTTCATCTATCATCTATATTGGACAAAAATGTCAAAGTCCGTCAACACAGATAGCAAATAGTTCGTCAACAAATGTAATGGCGTCGTTGGCTTTTTCTCTTTCGGCTACAGCACGATTGTCTTCTTCTACTCCCGATAGAGGAGCGGTCGTCCCAAAGTCAAAACCCGCTCCAGCTTTGACCATGGTCACGCGGTCAACGCCAACAGGAGATTTCGACGGAGCAGACGCACCGCCACCGCTAACATCGTCGATCTGTATTATATCTACCTGGATCTCCTGTGACACCATAATGCCTCCGAAAGAGGACGATTGCTGCGCCGCCGCTTGGTCCGAAATCGTATCACTCCATGATTTATGGCGATTGGCGTATCCTTGACTGCACCGATTTATTGTAGAAGCGTATTCATTTGAATCGTAATTGGAATGCCTCCGCACCAATTCCGTTGGAGTTGAGCATCCCTCTTCAACCGTGGCATAGTCCTCAGTTTTCGTCCGCCTAAACCGACGCAATGAGCCCAACCCAGTTCGCCAGAGTATGGCTCGCCCAGCTCGTTGGTATATTGCAGGCGGTTTATCGATTGGCACTGTATTTGCGGTCGGGGATAGTCCTCGATGCACATACCGTGTAAATGCGGCCAGGTGAGGCGAATTCTTGTATGCCATCTGATGAATCTTAAAGAAATTCATGGGTATAAACTCGCATCGAGGACTGCTGGCGCCGGCGTGAATCGGCATCATCATGCAGAGAGCAATCATTGTGCAAGATTCCGAGCTTAATCCAGCCCGAGCTCTGCACGGTACTTGAACTACCCTAGAAGTTAATATGGCTTCGTCGAAAACAGGGTTATCTATCCAGGCGCGAAGGGATTGCAGAGCGTCCGATAGCTGCGAAGCAAAAAGCGCCTCTCGAGGAGAAAGCTTCCTCAACGCATCAAGATTTTGGAGCAGGAGAGGGACATCAATTCTGCCAAGTCGACGAATAACTACACGTCGTGAGTTAGCTGTGAAATTGTGTGTGCAAGGAGCATTGAAACAAAGCAATATGCGCTAGACAATTGGCCCTTCGAGTTACGCCAAATCGATGGTTGACTCAAAACTATTGACGGAGGGAAATTATTAATATACGTACCATCCATCTGCCACGATTCCAAGCGTTCAAGCGGTATTGGCATAGTGGGAAGCAAGTTCCGGGCGTCCTTTTTGACCACAACGTCGAAACCGAAACTTCCTACGCGAGCCTTGACGCCAAAGAAGCCGAGATGTACTCCACGATGCAGTACGGCGCCCCCTTCGGCCAGCGTTGCCATGCTTCTGAGCTTGCCTTTGAGGTCTCTGCTCTTTATCTTCATTCGGGATCCAATAATACCGCACACCTGGTGAGGCTCTGCAAACCGGAAACCAGCAGCTTCGAGTCGATCCACCTCGACAGAATGTTCGAGATGGCGGACCAAAAACATCAATAAACCCCGTCCATGCTCCTGGCGAAACATTGTCCGAAGAATTTGTGCTCTACCGTATCTGCTAGGCCCGCCCTTTTCTAGAACGTTGTCAAAGCTATAGCTAAGTGTATGGGGTAACTCGTCAACCCCTGTAGCTAGGATCTCATCCCATAAAATTCCGATGTCGACAAGCTTTTCTTTGAACATAGTTGCCAAATTCATAGCTGCAACACAGAACAACTCGCGAAATATGGTATCATAATCTCCGATTAGGTTGCCGTCATCGTCAACGAGGCGAATCTTGGTATCGCGGATATCCTTGGGTAAACGCGCGAGATGTTTGGCCATACCGTCAACCATACCGACCACGCTATTCCAATCTCTCGATACTTGAAACATCCAATGGAAAAGCGGATGAGCAATCCCGAAAGTATCCCCTTGAGACTTTTCCACATAAGTGTCTGTAATCTTCTCGCTGGGCAACAATCCATCTGGGTTCACGAGAATCCTTCCCGACTTATCGAATACCGCTGCCGCCAAAACAATCTGTTGGGCTTTGCTCGCGTTTCGTCTCCTGACGCGTGTCGCATAAATGATCGATCCTGCCATGAAGAGTACCGCGGGGATCAATAGGCATATGACGATTATAATGGCTTGACTCAGAGAGTTGGGGATTGCCATTTGTATATTTTAAGCGATAATTCGTGCCAACAGCGGCAACCCAGTGCATTCCAGACACGGCGCCAGATAACAAAAATGCAGATAGCGATCTTTTCTTCCACGAATTTTTCCAAGATGCTCTACACAGGAAGAACAGTGATAGGGCCATAATACTGGCAGCTACTGCGATAACTACCGCCCCCGCGATGAACGTTTTGCCATATATGCAGTCGTAGTTAGTCATAGAAGCGTTACCCAAGTAATACATTCCACAGATACCGCCACCAGCAAGCACACCTCCGCAACATATTCGCCGCCCAGAGACCATATACTTTGCGCCAATAGCTGTGAAAGCTAACAGGAGTATAATCACTGGCAAGAAAAAGGTGAGCGCAGAGAAATGACTGGCATAGTCGATAAGGAGTTCAGGTTCGCCGTCGCCCAGGACTATCGCTTGATTGCCGACAAAATGCTACAACCGGTTAGGCGTTGCAACTTTTCTTGAAGGTGGTTCGGGAAGTCTTACCATACACCATATCGATATCCCACCCATAGACACCGCAGCACTAACTAGTACGAGGTGGTTGGATAAGCCCTTCCAGGAAATTCGCCGGTTCAGTAGTTCCAGTGTTAAGGCCGCTCCTATATAAGAGACAAGGTAACTTAGGAACACGAAGCCTCCCCGGAACGATCGAGGTACAATTTCGCCCTCATATTGCTGAAGTAGTTTGTCCACTTTCGACATGGTGAAGAGCCACCCCCTTCGTATAGGTCAGATCGAGAGCCACGGAAGTGACTTGCTATGAGACGACTGAAAGCATTAACGACAATTCAATCCGGAGGGAATGGCGTGTGGTTGTTGCTTGTAGGATGGCAGTTTGTGAAGCGTCATGATACTGCCTAATTGTCACTAATTGATTATAAGGACGTATGTGTCAAGTCGTAAGAGATATTGATATGCCTGTATGTAGGCAAGGACCAGCTTAGGTGTCGGGCCACTCAATACATACAAGCAGAAGCTCGAAGGCAAATGTGAAGAACACCGCAGGAACGAAATAGTGTTCGGACCCGATAGTATAAGGAAATTAGACTCGATCAGACGATGCAGTCGCTATATGGAATCGTTGCTCTGACCTCGAAGCAAGCCCTACGCCGGACACATCATAGAGTGCAGCAGACCTCAATGTTGCGATTTTGGCAATGCGTTCAAAGAACAATGATAGAACAGGGTCCTACTGGGTAATTATGAAGATGAAAATTTCAAAGAAGGACTGGATTTATGCAGGGGGTCTCATCGTTGGGTCCTGAATTGCTTTTTCGAATAGCGCAGAGTGGAAGCAAGCACAGAACCGTGAGCATTGATCACGATGATTCCGATATGGCGGCACTTAGGGAGATGCCACCACAGCTTGGCACGTACATAACCCTCTTACATTGGAGAAGAGTTTGCTCAATCATCTATCAATAGGTAAACTCCTCATCTTACGCGTGGAGTTGGTAAGGTCAAAAACGCAGCATTTCTGAGCTAGCTTATTTCTTCCCAGATTGCCGATTGCCAACTACCAACTACCAACATTCAAAGGATGACTAGGACCAATAAAAGCAGGGCCACAGCAAGTCCAAAGAATGACGATAAAGGACATGCAAATGGTCCTGCTGGTTGACAATTATATGGTTCCCGGAAAAGTTAACCTTATATTCAGCTTCCACGACCATGCATATTGTTTGCGTCGGCGGACATACTAACTTACTGATATTTTCAGATTACTATCACTCCTGTTGGTTCATCCTTTCTGTAATTTGACAGCTGAGTGTGTATAGAAATCTTTGCAGTTTGCTGCATGTAGTTCTAGCCGGTATGCTCAGCATCCCGTTGTCATTTTATTTCTTTTTGCTGCCAATCGTTATTGAAGAGAACTCCGTAAGTAAACTTGTACTATATTCTAACCATAACCCTAACCATTTACAAAAGCAACGAGTCTTCCACGTGTGAGAGGTTATGCTATTCCTCACATCAAAGAGGGCCATCGATCAAGGGATACATAATCTAACTAGGCGGATCGTGAAGAGTTGGGAGCTATTGGCACTTTCTGTTGCATGACCCCTGGTTTTTACACATGACGAGCTGCGGCACCCCTCTCTAATATTTCGTTACCAGGCGTTCGGTACCTTAGCCATGATATTTTAATCAAGATTTCCTTTGATTACCTAGGTACCTCATAGAGCTGCTTGGCTACTTCTTCTCTTCCTTCATTTGATTCGCTAATTCCTAACAGTCCTATGTACCTATGCAGCCAGCCTCAGCCCATATACCTTTTCTCGCTGTGTATTAATGCTCCGCTCTGGAATGATACATGTATTATTTTAGCAAAACTATCATGAAAGGAAGAAAAGAGGCACGCCGCAGACTCCAATAGCTACTTTTGGTTGGTGATATCAACCCTGCTTCTGTGGTATGAGCCAACAAACGAAATCTACTCTTAAAATTCATTTACGTCATCACACTGGCCGCAATGGTCCTTCGAGGCAATCTTATAATTGCATGTTAAGGCCAGCCTACGGACCAGCAATCCTTGCGCCAACTTCGAAGTCGGGACCGGCAGAGTGTGGCTTGTCGATCATCTACTCTCGGCGGCTTAGCCAGAAAACCGCTCCGTTTCCATTCCCCGGGGAGGACGGGACAAAAGTTAGGCGCCTCCTATATTTCTATCACCCAACCAAGGAAAATGACGGCCGGCTAGTCCGTAACATAAGGATGGGCAATTCGTAGGGATTACATTCCGTAGCAACATGGCTAAGAAGTCCGTGGCCATGGAAACGGGAGAGAGAAAACAGCAAAAAGCAATACTAAACCAGTGACCAAGCCATTAATCATCTATCTAAGTACCTATCCTACATTTACTAACTCTATGCTAAGCGACCTAGTCAAAACCCATAAGGAATCTCACAACGAACGCAACCCCCCCTTTCATTGGTTCCTATATTCAATTCCCACGCTTCTCGAGGGCATGCTGTGTTTGTGACATGGAACCACGTCATTCCTGAACACTATGTAAGGGTCCCCAGGCGTTGGTTCCACAGAATCGTATCACGTAGGTAGTTGCACAAAGCTTCCAATGGTGATTATGGCGTCGTCATATTGCTTGTTTGAACGTGTCAGGTATGGCCGGCGAGAAGCAACCCGTCCACCTGCTATTTACTACCTATGCAATCCCTCCATACGTGGCATTGAAGAATCGATAACCTTGCGGCTGGGATCTGTGAGGATCTCGATAGTGCGACATGTCTTCTCTCCGAAGGTAGGACCCGAGCCAGCCCCGTCGGCTGAGTGTCCCAGAACTGCTATTCCCATCATCGTTCGATGTCTTGAGAACAGTATATTCCGCGACAAGCTAGTCATTCTATTTCGAAGAACCAAGTTTATACTGGTCGAGTATAATATATAACGAGATGGGTCTATTCAATTCAGATTGAACTCTGGGCACCGGCTTGAAGTTGAGGTTTGAATGCATGTCTAAATATGTCGCATGGATTCCAACTACCCACCTACCTAGGTAGGTACCTGTAGGGAGTAACCATCTCAACGATATGCCCTACCACGAGATATTCAGAAATATATCACGACGGCAAAGCATTTTGGTTAGCCCTAACAATGTAACTGCCACCTCCTATGCCATGAAGCTTAGGTAGGTAGAAACAATTGCTGAGGCTTAATACATTTTTTTTCTTTGGATATATCCACCGTAGTCGAGAAGACATGATCTGATCTTGAAATTTGAAAAATAAGAAATAAATAAAAAATAAAGGTTTATGTTGTTGGATATTCCAATTTCCGAGTGAACATGTGAACAGGCGTTATCTTATGTAGTGCTCAATAGCATTCTAGGAGGTACCTATTGCAAGCATCTATCTACCTTCCAAACGCAACATATTATAGTAAAGAGGTACCTTTCTTTAGAAACTATACATACCTGGTAGGAGGTATTTAAGGACTAAAAAAAACTACTCTTACTTTAATAAACATTATTTAATTAATGTGCAATTTCGTTAGGTAAGATTACCTAGGTACTCTTATATAACAGGTAAGAGGTAAGTATAATGCCGGTTAGGTACTTCCATCCATTCAAAGCCCCACCACGCCGAAAGTGCAATGTACAATAGGTACCTCCTTCTTACAATGTGCAAAGCTTAACCCCACGTTGCCCCGCTTACGTCAGTTCAGTCTTTTTTTTTTTATACTTTTTTATACGATGCCGCTGCCGCTGCCGCGATACAACAACACAAGTAACAGGTAACTTTCCTTGCTCAATTAATTACATTAGCACCGACGACATCCCACTATCATCATCATCATCATCGCGTCGACGATTCAACTCCGCACATACCACATACCTACACCTACCTACCTCCTTACTTACAATCGTTATTCTGCCATACTTCAGACAAAGGGGAAAAAAGCTAGTGAAGGGATAGAACAAGGCATTCAAAACCTGAGCTGCATTCAGCCTCAGGAATTTTCTTCTCCTACAGGCCGACTCTGCCGCCTGCACCAGCGCGAAGACAAAAGAAACGAAACGAAAAAAAAAAGAATGGCGTCCCCAACCAACAACATCCTCACCCCCCTTCCCCCCTTCAAACCAGACCTCTACCAGCGGGCCTGGCAATCGGTGCCGCACCCGACGCTCCCGCTGCTCGCGACCGCGCACCAGAAGACCGCGACCGTGTTCTCGCTGTCGACCCTGTCCGCCCACAGCGCGCTGACCAACGGCCACGAGCGCTCCGTCCGCTGCACCGCCTGGAAGCCGAACCTGCCGCCGCACAAGCTGTGCCTGGTGACGGGGAGCTTCGATTCGACCGCGGGGTTGTGGCGCTGGAGCGACGGCGAGGGGAAAGGAGAGGAGGGGTTGGAGGTAGATGTCACACAGAGAAGAAGGAGAGAAGGAGAAGAAGAAGATAGTAATAGTAGTAGTGGGGATGAGAAGGAAGAGGGAGACAAAGACTGGGAGCTAATCATCATCCTCGACGGGCAAGACTCCGAGATCAAATGCGTGAGCTTCTCGCCGACGGGCCAGTTCCTCGCGACGTGCAGCCGGGACAAGTCGGTGTGGATATGGGAGGACGTCGGGGCGCGGGAGTTGGACGACGACTGGGAGACGGTGGCCGTGCTCAGCGAGCACGAGGGGGACGTCAAGGCCGTGGCGTGGTGTCCCGAGACGAACCGTAGCGCGGGCGGGAGGCGGGGACGCTACAGCAGCGACGTGCTGGCGAGCGCGAGCTACGACAACACGGTGCGGATATGGCGCGAGGAAGCCGAGCAGGAATGGGTGTGCGTCGCCGTGCTGGAGGGCCACCAGGGGACCGTGTGGGGCGTGCAGTGGGAGCCGAAGCCCAAGGGGAACAGGTTCCCGAGGATCATGACGTGCAGCGCGGATCGCACGGTAAGAATATGGACGCTCAAGGAGGAGGAAGAAGATGAGGAAGAACAAACGCCGCAGCATGCGTGGGGGAGCTTGGGAGGGATCCCGAACACGATGCGTAGGGCGTTGAAAGAAGAATGGGAATGCACTGCCGTGCTTCCCACGGCACACACGCGAGACATATACTCGGCGACGTGGAGTCCAGAGACCGGTATGGTCGCAAGTACAGGCAGCGACGGCATTATTGCCATTTACCGCGAGGATGAGGACGAGGTCACAAACGGTGTACACGCCACAGATGACGAGGCGGCTGCAGAGCTGGATGGCGATGTTCATATGACGAATGGTCACACGGAGAATAAACCTCAGGAATCTCGACGATGGAAGCTAATATCAACAACACCCAACGCTCACGGCCCCTACGAGATTAACCACATCACTTGGTGTAAGCGTTATGATCAGGGGTGCCCGCCGGAGAGGAGAGGGATCGAGGAGATGCTCGTCACAACTGGAGACGACGGGATTGTTCGACCGTGGCAGATCTCACAATAACCAATCAACTCGGGTTGTCTTTGTTATAATACATCGTTCAAGCTGTATATATCATCAAGGAGGCCTTGGCCTTGAAAAAGGTATGCTTCTCGCTATATGTGACGAGCCACCATAACCGCTGTCCGTCGTTCGATTGCTTAGGTTAGGGTACATTAGGTAGACAGGGAAGCCCAATGCGACGAGCAATCTGCAATGATTTTACAGACGCGTCAATAATTAGCCATTGTTACCCATTACTCCTCTGGGAGAGTAGGAGAATCCGATGAACTTACAAAAAAAGATCATACAATGATTATTCAAAGGGGGAAAGATGAAGAGAAAAACAAGCTTTGAAGCAGACGCCGTCTAAGTTGCCTTCTAATATTTCCCTGGTCCCCTCATTTTGTCTACGTCAAACGCCTTGTGGTCCTCGAGAGAGGATAGAAAAAACAAACAAATAAACTTGCGTTTTAGAACTAATATCTCTCATATCGGATATGCATGGAACCCTTGGTTGCAGCAGCACAGAGCACGCTTAACTTTCCGCAAGGCGCACCTTGAGCACCAACTCGACCCGCGCCTTTGACCTCGTCCAGAGCCAATGATCGTCGACGAGAGGCTCCAATGCTGATCTAACGGCCGGCCGCAAGCCTTGCAGACCCGACGCACGCGGTGTCTGGTATGGGAGTAAGGCAGCGACGGTACGGCAGGATATGTGTTTGGGCCGGCGGGGCCTGTATCGGTGTGGCGTAACGAGGCTTCCATCATCACGTACTGACTCCTCAGTGCCATTTCCAGGGGTATCTCTCCATATTCGCTTGGATGCCGGATGTTGGGGGGCGGGTACTCGGGTTTATGCGGGTATGCGTGGATGTCGACGGACTCGACAGCCGGAGGCGAGTGCCGCTTGCTGGTGTTGCGGAGACGGGGTATCCTAACACCGCTTTCACTGTGACTGCTGCCGCTACTGGTACCGGCGCCGGTATCGTCAAAGGTACCGGAAGATTCGTTATTTGCGCCACTCTTACCGCCACTGGGTTGGTCTTCGCCGCTTGTGTTAGTTGTAGCGGGAGTACTGTAAAGATGGGGCAGCTCGTTAAAAGTAAACGAGGGCTGCCGGCGTAGTTGGCGCCTCGGCGGTGATTCGGTACGGCTCCTACGGCTCTTGACACTTGTCTTAGATTCCTTATGCTTCAGCAGCGAGGAGATATCCGACGTCGACACGGTGCCGCTACTAGCTCCACCGCCGGCCGTGCTGCGCAAGGTCGCTATGCTGCGCTGCTCGGCGATAGGTGCGAGCTCAGTGCCGTGGCCGTACAGGAACGGCGTCTCGAACGCTTCGATCCGGGAGAGCGGAGACTCCGAGCTGGGATCTATAGGCGCGGAACATGACGTCGGTGGAGTGACGGGTCTACCGCTACCGCTACCGCTACCACTACCTACCACCGTAGATGGCGGCGCGTTTGGTAAAGACGGGGTCGATGTGACTTGGCGGCGAGGGGTCGACTTTGGTGAGCTACCGCTCGATTGGGGCACCCAGGTTGCATTTGGTATCGACGCATGAGAGCTAGGTGTGCCTTCGGAAGAGTCCTTTTGATCCCATTCGGGACCAAGGGGACATTTATCTTGGGTGAGCTTGGTAGTGAGATTTGATTTATTGGAGAGGGGGATCCGGGATTTTATAGATAAGTGGCGTCTTTTGAAGAGGGTACGTCTTGTTGGGGTGGGAGTGGGATGGTCGGTATTGTCCATGTTATTTTGTTATATGCTTTGTGCTGATACTTTTTCTTGCAATTATTCAGTACCAAGATGATGATAATATTGAAGAAAGCAGTAATTAGTAGTAGTAGCGGTGGTGGTGGTGATGCAAGTAAAATCTATCACGACTTTTTTCTTCTTCTAAGGGTTTAGGATAGAGACACAGAACACTTCTGAATGATGGATGATGAAATGATGTGATAGGAAGATGCGTGAGATGTAACTGGATTATGATGTGCGTGTATGTATGTGCGTGTATGTATGTGTATGTGTGTGTGTGTGTGTGTGTATAGTTCACGCTTCTTCTGTCATGGATTGGTATTTGAAGTCACTTGATCTATCTTTAAAAAAGATGCGCCTGCCTGTTCCTCATTATGTGTAGTCGTGGTTACCATCACCGCTCAACCCGCCTAGGGGAAGGCACACGCGCACACACATACATACACATGTATATAATAAAGCTTTGCAAGTACGATATATGTATGTAATCGTCAAAAAGTCGGAAGGTCCCTTCTGCCCCTTCTACTCTACATGTGATTTCTTCGATCTTAGGTACTTAGGAGGGCAGTTCAAACCGATCAAATTACCTAACCTTAGGTACTACATATTATACCTAGTTGCCTCTACTATAACTTACCTAGCTTAAATACTTAATGTACCTAATGTATGTATGTACACGTACTCGGAGGTCTAGTAGGCATGAAACTTCACCGACTATAAGAAACAAGATCGAATTGCATTAAGTATTTTTTATGGAACCCCATCTCAATTCTAGAATAACATGTTATTAGTCGTCGTTCAATTAAAAAAAGACTGGTATCATACTTTAATTACGGAGGCTAAGCCCGTTACGAGGACCTGTTTCATGCAAGTCCGTTGCGGTCCATTTTCCCCATCTAACCCAAATTGAACGCCCAATGTTCATGCGACCCTCTCACCGCTCCGTACTGACCTGGATACCTTCTGCGGCCAATGCTCTTTGGTAATCGGCTATGGCTTTATCTAGAGATTGTATCGTCGGCTCCATGATCTTAAAAACTGCTTCCTTACCGCCACGAACCGACTTGGAATTGAATTTCACCTTCCGCTTGGTCCGTTCATAAATTTGTATAATCTCTTCCTTTCTTTTCTTGATCTGTGCTTCTCGCGCGTTCTCAGCCTCCACCGCAACAGCATCTATCCTTTCTTTGGATCGCTTAAGAGCTTCGGCCAGGTATCCAAGCTCGACGGCTCGGTCCGGGTCGCCGGAGAGGAATGTCGACCAAAATTGGCGCAAGAACTCCATAGTAGTAGCATGAGTTAATTGGCAGGCGTGGGCGATATCCGCAGGTAATCCCATGGGTGAAGCCTCATCAGAGTCCTGGCCAAACAATTGAGAACGTCTCTGTCCCATACTCTCGAGTATTTGTTTTTGAGCACTCTTTCGTGACGCTCGTGATCCTACGTGAGGGGTTTTCCCTCCCTCGTCTTCGCTGTCGCTGTCGCCATCGATACCTAGCGAAGCATGAAGATCCACACCCCCGGCACTATAAGTATTCAGGCTTCTCAAATCGCCTTGTACATCTTTAAGCACCTCCGATGGGTCCTGCTTTGCGTAGACTGCAGTAGTCTCAGATATGGTGCCGGTTTCGTTCGAGAAGAATCTACTTTGCTCTTTAATGTTTAGGGCTATACGGCTTTCTTCAACGTCACCCCGCAGATCGCGCAGGGCCAGTTCTCGATAACTGTCGTCTTCTGCCTCTGCCTGCTGAGCAGGGTCATTTTCGAACGGCACGACACTGGTTAACAATTTTTCGCTGATGCTATTTAAAGTCTGAATGATGGGTACATCTTTTCTTCCTCTCGGTCGCATCTCGAGGTCCTTGCGGTTGCCGCTCCTGAAACCACCCTGGTTCTCTTCGTTGCCTTCTATGTCAATAATGTGCGGAACGTGCTGGGCAAGGAACTTGCTGTTGAAGGCCTTGATGTCGTCGTACTCGTCGTATTTATCAAAAATCTTATCTGGCGGTTCTAAATCGGTGACTCGTTCTCCCCTTAATTTTTTTGATAGCTTGCTGAGGAAGAATCTCATCCAAAACTTGTCCTGCTCCAAAGGCGGCACGTGCTCGTTGTATATGCGTTTGACGAGAGGGTGTTGACTGAAAATCATCTGCATTTGCTCGACACTGAACTTCAGCTTTAGCTCGCTAGGCTTGTCTGGATCCGTGCTCTGCTGTACGGTAGGCCTCACTTGGGCCAAAACATTGTACGGCCCTTTCTTCTGGCTATTCTCGATAGCATGTGCTCGAAGCAGGTTGATCCTTGCAGACCAAAATTGTGTGTTGAATGTAGCGTCTGACATGGCTTCAGGCTTCATCTTGCGACCTTCCATGTACATCTGAGAGAGGTGGCGATCCGCTTTCATTAGTGACTGCTGTAGCGCAATATCATTCGTTAAGGAATCGTCATCGAAGACACGTGCGGCTGCTGATTTAGCTACGGCGGTATTAGCAAATGCCATGGCCGCCGAGCCACTGCCCCCAGCAGCTGTCGTAGCTGCTCGCGGAACGCTGGGATCATTATTCTTAGCTTCAGCAAGAATTTTGGACAAGAGATCTCTAATTGCATTGGCTTCTGCCCTTGGATCCGAGGGAGAGTTCAAATGGAAGAGGTAGGCCACAGGCTCAGCACTTCCTGGAGGCTTATCAAATATCTTGAGCATAACCTTGGCAGCGGTATCTGGTGTTTGCTGTAGATCTAGGCACAAATAGTTAGTAATTACGAACTATGATCTTATAAGAGAGCACATACTGGTGATATTTGATATTTGGAGAGAGACGGTTGGCGGGCCACCTGGTGCAGAGTTCGGAGTCCAGGTGACATTTTTGCGGTCTGGGGTCAAGGTAAGTATGCCATCCTTTTTCTTGTAGGCAGCAGCACCGGTCGGAATCGCCATCGCGTATGTGGATATGGAGATGAAAAGGACAACAAGCAGGACTGCTGTAATGCAGTTTATATATGATCTTCCTCTTTAGAGACACTTCATAAGCGCCCGTACGCGAAGAGATATAATCAAGAGTTGCCTGAATAACAGGATGGCGATATATTACAACGCAGCCATACGGTAAGGATCCTGTTAGAAATTCTTATTTTTTTAATCCAAACTTGGGATTTCTTGAGTTAGGTAGTTATATTCTGTCTTTGTTGTTGGAATGAGGAGTACTTGAAGTTTGAATTACGACGCGGTCGATTCAGAATGACTTGACCTTGCGATAAAAGTATGTACATGCTTGCAGAATGCAGGTACTCAGCGTTACAGGTACCTAGCATTATACGGATTAGGTACATACATAGGTACCTAAGGTACTTTACATTCTGTACCCCACATGACACCTATGAAAAGCCACTTCAAATGTGGCGTAAGCTGTTAAAGATCAGATACATTAGGTACCTCCTAGGATATGTACATAACATTTTATTCAGGTATCCCGGCGTGTGAAGATAAGCATTTCAATTGGACCCGTGTAATATTGTGCAGCTCAATAACTTAAGGATGCCAAGGGTGCTAGCTTCTATGACGTCCTGAAGCGATTTCAGCTCCCTAAGTAGGTAGGTAGATACCTGTTATTGACACAGAGACATCCATCTATCAAAGCAAACATCTGTACGGTTTAGAATGAGTAGAATGAGCGGTATCTTTACCGCAATTCACGACATCTACATAATATAGTACAATTTTACGGATCAACGGGAGAGTTAGGTAATGGCTCAATTATTTGGATAGTGTCATATTCTTTAAACACGAACCTCCACCATTGATATGTTATGCAAGTGCAATTAGGTTTAACTTTGGAACTGCCGTCTCGCCCTGTGACACAAAATGCGTGGATCAATCAGCGCCTTCGTAACAAGCCTTATTTATGATGACTCAAATGCTGTGTGATTGTGACTGTTCGATAAAAAGAAATATAAAAATATGTATATTACCGTATAAGTGCAAATAAAGCTATTTGAGCGATTAAAATGCCTCGATTGTACAATCTGCGCTGAAGTTATTACATAGTAGAAGAAAAAAGCCTCGGTGGTTTTTTTTAGGAATTTTCTTGCGGCGAGAATCGGGCCTTTCTACCGAATTAGAGGTCAGAATCGAAGCTGCCGCCCTAACCCAGCCTAACCTAGTAGTGTTCCAGAAGCCGAATTTAGCCTGTAAATACAAACTTAGCGTTTAACTGCATACAGCCAACAGCCGAGAGACCCTGCTTATTAGCATCTAAAATATGGCTTAATCGTATAGTCGGCATGACCGGGTTTTCTTGGCTCCTTGATCTGCGACCGGGTGACGACAGGGGGCCTTTGGGGGGGCGTCGCAGTCGCTACGTTTTTTCATTTTCTCCAACATTGGGGAGAGCATGACCCTTTCCCAGCCAGTCCCCAGTTTCTCTTTTCCAGCACCTCAACTCACTAAAAGGTACTGTTCAAACTTTAGACTTACTCCGCCGCTCCTTAATCTCTCTTCTCGAGATTGTAGAAATCTCGTCCTTTGGTAGGAGTTTAGTAAAAAGTCGATTCCTGGGTTGTTGTTTTCTTTACATACCCAAGTAGACAACAAGGTTGTCAAGTTGTCATTATTTCGTATATCGTCCTAATACATTTTTTATAGCTGTCGAAGCATCAGCCTGGCGCCATGCTGAGCAGCTGTCTCCGATCCTCGAGCAGCCAGCTCCTCAGAGCTAGCTGCCGTACCTCGAAATGTCTTTCCCAAACCTCGAGATGTTTCTCCATTAGCGCCGCTCGTCGTCCTCTCGCCCTCGCCTCCCAGAAGAGGTATTCCTCCTCCACCACCACTACCACCACCACTACGGCCCCCTCGCCTAACGACAACTTCCTGTCCGGTAACACTGCTAACTACATCGACGAGATGTATCTGCAGTGGAAACGGGACCCGGAGAGTGTCCATGTGTCATGGCAGGTTTACTTCAAAAACATGGAGAGTGGCGACATGCCTATTGAGCAGGCCTTCACTCCCCCTCCTACCCTTGTTCCTAGTGCAACTGGTGGTGTTGGGCCAGCTGTGGGCATGGGAGTTGGACAGGGATCTGACGTTATGAACCATCTGAAAGTGCAGCTGCTAGTCCGTGCCTACCAGGCTCGAGGACACCACAAGGCCAACATTGACCCTCTTGGTATCCGTAACGAGCCTAGAGGTTCTGCGAATACTGAGATCAAAGAGTTATCCCTCGACCACTATCAGTTTACCGAGAAGGATCTCGACAAGGAGTTCACGCTGGGACCGGGTATCCTCCCGCGCTTCAAGCGAGAGGGTCGGGATAAGATGACTCTTCGTGAGATCATTGCTGCTTGCGAGAAGGTCTACTGTGGGTCATACGGTGTTGAATTCATTCATATCCCTGATAGGGCTAAATGCGACTGGCTGAGAGAGCGCGTCGAAGTTCCCCAACCTTTCAAGTATTCCTTTGACGAGAAGCGCCGAATTCTCGACCGTTTAATCTGGAGTTCTAGCTTCGAGTCCTTTTTGGCTACCAAATATCCCAATGACAAGCGATTCGGTCTGGAGGGTTGTGAGACTCTCGTACCCGGAATGAAGGCCCTCATCGACCGAAGTGTCGACTACGGCGTAAAGGATATTGTCATCGGAATGCCCCACCGTGGTCGTCTTAACGTGCTCAGCAACGTAGTCCGCAAGCCGAACGAGTCTATCTTCAGCGAATTCGCTGGTACTGCTGCTGCTGAAGATGAAGGCTCTGGTGATGTCAAATACCATCTAGGTATGAACTTCGAACGTCCTACACCGTCCGGAAAGCGAGTTCAGCTTTCTCTCGTCGCCAACCCCTCGCATTTGGAAGCCGAAGACCCGGTCGTGCTAGGAAAGACCCGAGCCATCCAGCACTACAACAATGACGAATCGACGCACAGGACCGCCATGAGTGTCTTGCTACACGGTGATGCCGCTTTTGCTGCTCAGGGTATAGTATACGAATGTCTTGGATTCCACGCCCTGCCGGCTTTCTCGACCGGCGGAACGATTCACTTGGTTGTTAACAACCAGATTGGTTTCACTACTGACCCTCGATTTGCTCGTTCGACCGCGTACTGTACGGATATTGCCAAGGCTATTGACGCCCCTGTCTTCCACGTGAATGCCGATGATGTTGAGGCTGTTAACTTTGTCTGTCAATTGGCCTCAGATTGGCGCGCCGAGTTCCAATCCGACGTCGTCATCGATCTTATCTGCTACCGAAAGCATGGTCACAACGAGACGGATCAGCCTTCCTTCACCCAACCCCTGATGTACAAGCGCATTGCTGCGAAGGAACCTCAGATCAACATCTATGTGGACAAGCTGATTAAGGAGGGCACTTTCACGAAGGAGGATATCGAGGAGCACAAGCAATGGGTCTGGAACATGCTAGAGGAGAGCTTCGCCAAGTCTAAAGATTATCAGCCAACATCCAAGGAATGGACTACATCTGCCTGGAACGGCTTCAAGTCCCCCAAGGAGTTGGCAACTGAGGTTCTACCGCATATGCCCACCAATGTTGACCGGAAGACTCTAGCGCACATTGGTGAGGTTATTGGTTCTGTTCCCGAAGACTTCCATCTTCACCGCAACCTGAAGCGTATCCTACAAAACCGCACCAAGTCGGTTCTTGAGGGCAAGAACATTGACTGGTCGACCGCTGAAGCGCTCGCTTTTGGTTCGCTCGTCACTGAGGGTCACCATGTTCGTGTCTCCGGCCAGGATGTGGAGAGAGGTACCTTCTCTCAGCGTCATGCCGTCTTCCACGACCAAGAAAACGAGAATACATACACGCCTCTACAGCACGTCAGCAAGGACCAGGGCAAGTTCGTCATCTCTAACTCGTCGTTGAGCGAGTACGGTGCTTTGGGTTTTGAGTACGGCTACTCGCTGTCCTCACCTAATGCGCTGGTCATGTGGGAGGCTCAATTCGGTGATTTCGCCAACAACGCTCAATGTATTGTTGACCAGTTTATCGCCTCTGGTGAAGTCAAGTGGATGCAGCGAACCGGTTTGGTCATGTCTCTTCCCCACGGTTATGACGGACAGGGCCCTGAGCACTCTTCTGGACGTATGGAGCGATATCTACAGCTCTGCAACGAAGACCCACGTGTATTCCCATCGAAGGAGAAGCTCGAACGCCAGCACCAGGATTGCAACATGCAGATTGCGTGCATGACTACGCCTGCTAACCTGTTCCACATTCTTCGTCGCCAGATGCACCGACAATTCCGAAAGCGTAAGTTATCCATGCGAGATCTGGTATTGCATACATGATTGCTAATTGTTTATAGCTCTCGTTATTTTCTTCTCCAAGTCGCTACTACGACACCCTCTAGCCCGCTCAGATATCGAGGAGTTCAGCGACCCTGATGCACACTTCAAGTGGATTATCCCTGATCCCGAGCACGAGACTGGCAACATCAAGTCGCCTGAGGAAATTGACCGAGTCATCCTCTGCAGCGGTCAGGTGTGGGCGGCCCTTCACAAGTACCGCGCCGACAACAAGATCGACAATGTTGCATTCACTCGAATTGAGCAACTCAACCCCTTCCCGTGGGAGCAACTTAAGGAGAACCTAGACATGTACAAGAACGCCAAGACCATTGTCTGGGCCCAAGAGGAACCCCTGAACGCTGGTGCATGGAGCTTCACCCAACCTCGTATCGAGACTCTCCTGAACAAAACCCAGTACCACGACCGCAAGCACGTCATGTACGCAGGCCGAAACCCTTCGGCATCTGTCGCCACTGGTCTAAAGGTTGTTCACAAAAAGGAAGAGGAGGAATTACTAGAGATGGCGTTCACCGTGACGCAGGATAAGCTAAAGGGCGAGTAAAGGGAAAGGAAACCTAAAAGAGAAGTATAGCATTAACATGAGGACGGGGCGAGCATTTATTATTTTCCAAGTTTTTGTAATTTATCTTGTGTATAAAGCGGCCTCGGGGATCATAAGCGAGGCTACATAGAGGGGCGGCTGCTAATGGGTTTTCCGAGTACCGTAATGAATGATTTTGAACCTTCAAAACCCTGAGTTGTCCTTGTCCTCGTTCTTTATCCGACGCCGAGTGTAACGAACTGCGTAGATGTGCATACTACCTACCTAGTATTTATTCCCCGTGCGGAGAACGAGCGTGTATCGGACCGGGGTGTTGGAGGGAAGGCCATTGCTGTGCCGAATATGACATCCACAAAGAGCTGGGGTAATGATAAGCACCTTGCCTCTCGACCGGGATTTGCCAATGACCGCAGCTTGCTTTATCTTGGATATCATACGCCATGTCAGCTCTGTGACGAAATTGACTAAGTACTAACAGATAAACTCTGCAGTGATAGCTACCAGTTACCATTACCATGTCTCGGGACGAGATTCGGAATAGGTACCTAGTTGTAATTATAAAAATTAGATATATGATGGAGCCTCCACCAACGTGGATGGTTACACGTACCTAGTCTCTCTTGTCTTTAAAGGCAATATTTAGAGACACATCGTCTCTACTTCCATAGACGTCACTACCTAAACTACCTAACTAGATGGCTTAATAAGATAATAAATATCTAACCTAAAGTATCAATTAAAGCTGTCTGTCATTCACGATTACGCCTCCCGATGCGATTACAGCAATGCGTTCGTTTGCGTTTCGACAGCGGGGCCGGGCTCTCGGGGAGAAGACCCGAGCTCGGCTGACGGATTGGCACAGCTGGGAACTGCCGAAGCAGACGAGCAGTATTGCTCCGTCTCACATATGGACGAATGCCGGTGCGTCTCTACCTACCTACCTAAGGTATCCAAGCGCTGGTAGGTTTTTTACATGGTCGGACCGCGGCGGCTGATATGTGTGCCACGAACGAATAATAGATCAAGATCCGGTTCCGCAGGAGAAGCAGACTTGGACCAAGTGGGCGTTCATCGGGTATTGGTACTCTGACCTGGTGACTATCTCCACGTGGAGCGCTGCGAGCGCTATCATGACGACCGGCTTGGCGGCTACGGATGCGGTTCTTATTGTCCTCGTCGCGGCTATAGTACGTGTGTTCGAAAGCTGCTTCCCCAGTTCCCCCCCTATCTTCTTAAGAAACAGTACCTTAAGTATTATATGTCGTGATTACAATTGCTAACTCCCGGACAATCCCATCATAGTGCAATGCAATTCCGACGGTCTTAAACGGTGCCATCGGAGCCGACCTACACATCCCCTTCCCTATCGCCTGCCGGGCCAGCTACGGCTACTGGCTGAGCTACTTCTGCGTCGTGACGCGAGCGATCCTCGCGCTGTTCTGGTTCGGCGTCCAGAGCGCCAACGGAGGCACCTGCGTGACGGCCATCATCACCGCCGTCTGGCCGAGCTACGCGCGGCTTCCCAACACGTTGCCCGCGTCGGCGGGCACCACGAGCAAGGCGCTGCTGAGCTACTTCATATACTGGTGCATCCAGTTCCCCCTGCTGATGATCCCCTCGCATAGGCTGCAGTACCTGTTCTGGGTTAAGACCGTGCTGGTCACGCCCATGGCCTTGGCGATGGTCATCTGGATCACCGTGAAGGCCGGCGGTCGGGGCGACTTCTTCTTCGCGCCGGCGACTGTGTCCGGGTCTGCGAGGGCATGGCTTTGGCTGTCGAACCTAGTACGTCACCTAACCTAACCTAATCAACAACAACAACAACAACACAATCTCTAGATCTCCATGTACCCCTTTCTTACCTAACTAATCTAACAACCCACAAGACCAGCGTAACAGGCGGCTACTCCACCCTCGCCGTCAACATCCCCGACTTCTCGCGCTTCAGCCGGACCCGCGTCGCCCAGCTCTGGCAGCTGCCCTTCATCCCGCTATTCAAGACGCTCGTCGGCGTGTTCGGCATCGTATCGGCCAGCGCCTCCAAGCAGGTCTTCGGCGTCGTATACTGGTCGCCCCTGGAGATCATCGAACGCTGGCAATCCTCGCCCGGCGGGCGGGCGGCCGCCTTCCTCGCGGCCGCCGTCTGGCTGCTCGCGCAGGTGTCGGTCAACATCAGCGCCAACGGCATCTCGTTCGCCAACGACGTGGCCTCGCTCGCCCCGCGGTACTTGAACATCCGCCGCGGCGTCGTGCTCGTCGCGCTCCTCGGTGGCTGGGCCATGTGCCCGTGGATCATCGTCGCGTCCGCCGGCGCGTTCCTTAGTTTCATGAGCGCGTACGCGGTGTTCATGGCGCCGGTCGCGGGCGTGCTCGTCGCCGACTATTGGCTGGTTAAGAAGCGGCGGTACGACGTGCCCGCGCTGTACGATCCGCGGGGGATTTACAGGTATAACAAGGCAGGACAGGCAGGAGGGGCAGGAGGGGCAGGAGGGATAGGAGCAGGGGCGGAGATTGGGATAGCGGGAGTCAACTGGCGCGCGCTGGTGCCCACGCTCGTGGTCATCGTCCCGCTGCTCCCCGCGCTGGCGAAGAAGGTCGCGCCGGGGAGCGTGCGGATCAGCAAGGGGCTCGAGAACCTGTTTGCGTTCAATTGGCTGTACGGGTTCTCCGTCGCGCTGGGGATGTACTACGCGCTGAACTGGCTCTTCCCGCATCGGGAGACGCTGATACCGGAGGTTGTGCCGGGGGTAGTTCCGGTTTTGCGCGCGGTGGATGTGGATGCGGATGTGGAGAGTGGTTTGGCTGCGGATGAGAAGATGAGAGGGGCGGTGAAGGAAGAGCAGAGATAGCCATATTTTAGTTAGATATCAGGGACTATGTTTATTTACTAATATTAGGTAGATACTTAGTATTCAAAAGGAGGTGTTATACATATCGTAGAAAGATAACCAAGAGCTAGAAATTATTAACCCTATTTCTAAATCGTATAGTAGCACATCATCGTCCAAATTATCATTATAGCCTTCTTTCTAAATAGGTACCTACCTCCTAATCTAGGCAATAATACTAATTAATCCACACCAAACCCTCAGAACCCCCCCTCCCTCCTTCCTCTCCCTTTTATAAGCCATCATCCATCAAATCAAGTAACTCCCCCAAACCCGCCACAGCCTCGCACCGCCCACGCACCCTCCCGCACCCCCCCGGACACCTTCCCTCCCCACCATTCTGCCACCCGAACAGCACGTCCGTCTCGTTCGCCAACACGCCCGCGACCAGCGCCGTCGAGCCCGGCAGCCCCGCCGACCGGCGGAACACCTCCGCGGACGGGATCCGGATCTGGGCCCAGCCGTCGCGCACGAGCGTCTCGATCGCCGTCCCGTACACGTACTCGCCGAAGCCGCCGAAGCGCACATCGCGCAGCTCTCCGCGTTGGTGTACAGCGTCAGCTGGGTGAAGGCCGCGAGGGCCGCGGGCGGCGAGAGGGAGTACCGGCCCAACGGGGACGTGAGGATCGATGTGCAGTTGTTTATGGCTGCGATTTCTCCTGTATAGGTTAGGTAGGTAAGTAGGTAGGCGTACTAGTAAGTTTCTTTGACAAGTATGTGAATGAAAAGGGGCTGGAGAGGTACGGTTCGTAGGTTAGGTACATACATACCGTGAAGCGTTGGGTTCCCGGTCGAGCTCATGCTGTTGGCGCCTGTGCAGACGAGCTCCCCGAGCCCCGAATTCGCTGTGTGGTTTACGATCACGGTGCCGAAGGGGGCTTGGGGACAAGGGTGGCCGAGGGCGAGATTGGCCTGGCGCATCCAGTAGATTCTCGTGCTGAGGGGGATTTCATAGGTCGGTATCGGTCCGCTGGTGATGGGTATTTGAACTTGGTCTACTTTGGGGTGAGATTGATCATGGTCATGTCCCAGGCAGAGTCTCGGAAGACTAAATTATACAAAAGCAACTTGGACTACTGATGGTGGCTGCATTCTGCTTTATTTTCAAAGCGGCACTGCTAGTACAGTGGGAATAAACTGAATAAGATACGGTCCATTGGATATGAGCCATTGACGTTTATATTAGGCATATATCCGTATGCGTATGCGCCACACATATAAGTAACCCACCTAGCTAGAACCCCACCCCCCTAATATATACCTCCTACGAGCAAGGAATATCCTAAAACGTGGGTAACGATAAGAAACATCGCGAAGTCCTAGGCATCCCGGGCGTCGAGAACGTCCGGCTCATCGGGAAGGGCTTCCAAGGCGCCGACCACTACGGCATCAAGAACAAAACCATCACCAAGTCGCTCTCTCACGACTGGCACGAGAAATAGCTGCCTCCAAAGGAGTTCGAGGCGGGGAACACGCGGTTCCAGCGCTGGCACATGGACGTGCCGCTTTACGGGAGCGACCCGGCGTTTTTCACGACCCTGCGGTGTATCAGGCGGCCTACCGAGCCCCAGGTCAACATCCGCTGGGACGACGGTTCGGGCCTCAGTATGAAGGCGGATCCGGGGCTTACGGCGTTTATAAGTAATGTCCAGATGTATGAGATGATGACGGAAGATGAGAAGAAGATGCCGGACCACAGTTGGGTAGAATATGCTCCGCATCCGGTGAGTGGGTAGTCGGCCATATGCTTAGATGTGAACGCTTGAAGTAACTGGTAGTAATTATTGGAAACAGTACGTGTGGATAGGGGATTGTAAAGGGAATTCGAATGGTCTTGGCCTTGTCAGTCAGGGTAAAGAGAAGAAGCTCGAGGATGTCAGCGACTTCGACCCGAAGGGTGTAAAAACGTATCCCAGTATGCATCATCAAGCTCCTTTCTTGTCCCCTTCCAGTTTGCCTCAGGAGCCCTTATTTTCTTATTAACTCACCTGAGCCCCTTGAACTCCAGACTACGAGATGTCATTACTGATCCTCATTACTACAGTGGTCTGGGTCAATACAGTGACAGGCGAGAAAGCATTCCAAGTCCACGGGATTTGCGCAAGGAAGCTGTTCATCCGCTCGTCCCCGACGGAAGAGCCCAGGGTGATAGAGGATCTCGTAGAGATCAGGAACTTGTTAAAGACTATCCAGGAAAGAGTATTGAAGCCCGAGTACGTCTTGATCCCGAGCCTGGAAGAAGGGGATATTGCAATGTGGGCCAACTATCAGATGTTTCACACGGCTATCGACTATCCTGACTGGATTGGTTCACGGACTATGCATCAAGCTAATATCGCTTCATCAACTGGCCCAATTGGCCCGGTCCCAATTCCGGTCCAGATTTAAGGTTAAATCCTCGGGCATTGTAACAACTTTCCTCTCTTGGGATACTGTATTTGGGAGCCGCAAAGTCTCGTGGCAGAAAGGCCCGAGCCTGTTTATTACCGCCGTAAATCATATACAGCAGCTATCTATTTCTTATATGGTGACGCGCCGCTAGGTTTCATAGCGCTTTTTTGTTGGGACAAGGTGATTGCTCAAACCCTGTGCTATCAGTTTTGGGAGCGTCACGATACCCCTTTCAATGCTTACTATAGAAAAATGCGAGGCAGCGGTCTCTCAACGTGCCCTAGAACCACCTACAAGACAGTCCAAATAGATAAAGCCTCAATGAAGGGGTTGGTGAATTCCTCAATCAATCGCTTTCTGGGCAAGTTCGTCTGCTAGACGCCTGATGTAAAAGCCCCGCATATCAGGCGGCAGCTTACTGAAGCTATTCGAAATACGCGTAATATCTTGACGGCCTTTTTCATACTGCATCTCATGAAGTTAGTGGTTACTATGCGCAAATACAAAAACTTAGAATGAACCGTTGGGAATGACCAAAATCAATAGATGAGGAATTTAAAGCTTACAGCTGCAAGGTCCCGATTTCCGTAGACATCTCTGCCACTCGAGTACCCATTCTCAAGGTTGCGAAAGAAGACGTTAACAGCCACACCCAAGTTACTCAATGGTGTAGCAGTATGCAGCCAAAGGGGAGGGATAAATAGTATATCGCCAGGTTTCAGTACCGTCTCGTGAGGATGTGTCTCAGCAAGAGAAGGCGATTCGAGTTCGGAAAATACGTCAATGCTTGAGCTAGACGATCCCGGAGCGAATGAAAGCTTAGTGACATCCGATGGCGGGAACAGAACGAATCTCTTGGAGCCAACTATTTGGGAATATACATTTGCCATAACCTTCGCAAGTATAATGTCAGTCATCTGAATTGGGTGAAGGCCAGACGCGTGATTCTTCTTACATCGTAATGGAGCCACATATTAACAGGCCCAGTGATTCGCAGTACGGAGCTGAATTCGTTCTGCTTTACGAATGAAAGCGCGTCAGGTAGCTGGAAATCTTCAGCCAGCTGCGGGAAGTCGATCTTGAGATTGGCCGGCTGATCGGATGGGTGATCACCAGAAAGGGCACGTAGGTATAGCTTCTGGCCATCTGAAATTCCTTGCATTATGTCTTGAAACTTCTTTGTGACATATGCAAAATTCTTGCTGTTAAAGTCCATATTTTGGCTATCAGCCTCGTGAACAACGACCTAATGACACGGTTAAATTAGATTTAGGTACCTATGGAACTTGGGACAATCATTACCTCTCTATCAGGGCCAAGTTGCTTCACAATATAGTCTGATGTCCAGGTTTGGATACAGTTTCCTAATTGGCACGCTTCGAAAACCACAGGTTTCCCAGCTTTCAGCACCGCTGAAAATTCGTCTGCAGTATTGATCTGGAGCCTAGGTATGTCAACCTTCTCCGCAGCCTCTCTGCTCGAAGAAGTCGAGGCATGGTTCCGTTCTGTTTCTTCCGTAAGTTCAACAATCCTCGAGTATTTCCAAATCGCCCTGCTATTATGCGGTATCGGTACTCCGGTAGTGAAGGCCTTAGGGGTGTATCTCAGCGTGTAGCTGCCCGGATTCCAGAATGTTCCCATGGAGAAACAAGTAGCACCTCCACCCATTACAACTAATTGACCATCTTTGGCCTGTTCGATCGAAGCACCTATGAGCAATGGCCTAGGAGTAATTGCGACCTGGCAAGCAGAGACGATTTTATAATGGTGGCTAGAAACGTCTATAATCAAGACATCGAGATCACGCGTAACGATGTCGTTTGCGATAATACCTCCAACTACAGTCAGATATCCTTCTGGAGAGATAAAGCCAGAGGCACCGTAGCGGTTGATTAAGTTGTCGGGATGCTTGATTTTGTTTGATTCTCGTATCGACGAATTATGGGAACTTGAAGTCGATAAGGCTGCAAATGAAATTGTAGGCTTCTCATTGTCCGAGAAAGTTAAAACCCATCGTAAAATCTGCTGGGCAATAACGCCATCTCGAGAGATACCGCCTGCAATCAAACCATCAAATTTGACGCCATCGGTCTCCGTGGAATGGCTTGGCCCCCCCAGACAAACCAATAGGCCACCAAAGACTGGTTCATACTCTGACCCTTGAATTTCGCACTCAATCCATCCTGAACTCGGCCGATAAAGTAAACACCCATTAAAGATATTCGATGCGTCAGATTTTCCAGCGACCAAAAGAGCAAGATCTGAGTTGCCGAGTCTTGTTATTCCGTGCCGATACAAGGGTATCGGAAGGTCATCTATCCGCTGCCATTTGTTATCCCCTTTGTGAAGGAGCCAGCAATCGCGCAGAGCACTTGACGGAGAAGTCCTGCCTCCTACTAGCAAGTTTCCATGCTCGCCCATGTCTGTAACGGTATGACACATGCGACTACTAGGGCCAGTATGATGCGTCTGAACATCTTGTAGAGTTGACTCGTTAACGTAGAGATCATATGACCTTAATCGGCTATTCGTTCCGAGTCCAAAGGTATTAGACAAGAACTCTTCCCCTAAGTCGTTTTTTAACTTCATGGCAGCGCCAAATCGGCGTTGTCCGCGAGTACCAGAGTATTCTCTAAAGTCGGCGTCCAGAGATAACACGGGAACTTCGAGTCTATCAAAATCCCGAGAGATGCTTGTGGCCGTTTGAGTCGTTGCTGCATTAGTCCTGGCGATAACCACGCAGTAATGAGCCGCGAAAATTGCAAACTCCTCCCATTCGTCAAAAGGCTCAAAGGAGTCGAGTTTTCTCCTCTCGTCGGCCGCAAGCCACTGGTCGTCAGCCCATATTTGCCAGAGAGTGCTAACATCAACGTGTGACCAGCCCCTTTTGACGAAACGGTCCCGCTGGGCATTGACATCCGGGTAGGTAAAAACAGACCTTAGGGGAGTCTTCAATTTCTCAAAATGCGCCAACATCGTCTTTGCAAACGGATTGTCTTCTCTATCTGGAATAATTTGCTCCAGAAGACAAAATTCAGCTAGATTCGGTCAGTTTCTGCTGTTATTAGGTTACGTATCAAGACAGCTTACCTTGTCCAAGAGTGCTGGCCCATTGAATAACCGAATTCGCGCCTTCGGTTTCCATATAGGTGATAGAGACCTCTGCCACAAACATAAACTCGCAATGGGCCACATCGATAACAGTTGAGAGTGCCTTTTCTATATCGGAGATATTGCGTAAATCGCAGCCAATCTCGACATACTGATCGCTCTGTAGTACTACATGGTTTCCTATATTAGTCTTGAACCCGGTCAAGGGAGACCTGAGCTCAGGGGTATCCTGGACGATCCGGCATTTCTTCTCTATCAAGTCAGGAAAATCGATATCTATAAATGTAACATTCTGACATCTCTCGGGATATCTGGTCATACATTGCCACGGGAGCACATCGCTGCCAAAGTTTAAAAATTAGATATTATATATGAGATTTGAACGGCAAGATAGAGGCCTACCTTCCGCAGCCTAGATTTATAACCACTTTCTTTTTCTCCGAAGGTCTTTCTAGGAACCTACGAACGGCGACATCAATTACATGAAGTCTAATATGATAGCCTCGATTAATCAACGGAGCCCGCCGCTGAAACTTCTTTACGAAGAAACGAAAGAAGTGAGGTTCGTTTGGATAGTAGATACGTTCTACACTTCTTTTAGACACGATACTGCTGCTATTCGTCTTGGGGGCATATTAGAAACTTGAGATGTGTATGAAGTATGAATGATAGAGATGAGACGCACAGCCATAACCAGATCATCCAGAGCTCGTTGCTTTGTTGAACGACCCAGCCCCTTCTGGGCTTTGACTTTGGGAGTAGTAGCCATCCTAGTTAAAGGAGGCACGTGAGAGGAGAAGAATCCAGTTAATTATGACTTTGTAAGAGTAAAAATATGTCAGTCGAGATTTATTAGAATATGGTCAAGTGAGAAAATCTTATAAAGTTGCCCTGTAATTACAGCTCCGTCGGGATGGTAAACCTTAGGGACCTCCACTGCCCCATATTATATCCACTTCTGCTGCGAAGTTACCTATTTACAAAGGTACAAATCTGCAGGGAAAGGTACAAAATTTTGGAATAATTGATAACGTTGTTGACGGCCACCATTATCTCGTACATCTTTCATTTTATTATACATTGATACGATAACGAAAGAGACACAAAAAGATCCTTTGGAACAGCATTCCAGGTACTAATAATAGCGTCTCGTAGATGTTCTGAACTAAGACTCCTTATATCGTATTTGATTTTATTTGATTTTATTTGATTTTATTTGATTTTATTTGATTTAATATAAACCGTTGGGAATAGCTTCTAGTTGGTGTAACGGTTTGAAGATACTGATTCACATATCTATAATACGGGTTAGAAAAACGGGGTTGTAGAAACGTTACCTAAGTACTCAATCTACTTAGGTACCTACCATCTTTCAGGTAAGTTCGAGATACTTTTTACCTTTACTTAGATCTAGCTAGGTACTTACACCTAACTTAATGTTTACTACGCTATTCTTAAATTTTATTTTATTTTATAAAAGTAACTATTTTACATTATTTATATTTTAATGGAAATTGTTAGATTACCTAATTTAAAGATAAAAATTATACTTATTTTTAACCCTCAAAATCTATTGTAAGTACCTAGTTGAGAACTCGTTTTGTTGGAGCTGTGAAGCACCCAAAAGTTAGATAAACGCAAGTATTAAAGTGCTGTAAAATAGGAGGTACCTACCTCCTACTAGGTAGGCATCTACGCAACAGTGATCAGCGCATGGGTTCATCAAGTGGGTACGAGTCTAGCGTAATAATAGGCCCAAGCTTCACCAAGCTACAGGGCAATAGCAGTTCCATGTTGACGGTTAACGGTGAGAGAAGGTACCTAATTGTGTAACGATACGTACCTACCCAGGTACCCCGGCGGTTCCCCGCCTGACCAAGCGAACAATAGCATCTGATTGATGATTTCAGCCTTTTTTCCCCCACCCATAATCCAAATTCCAACCTCCTCGGATTCTTTAGCATTTCCAGTCCAGCTTCTTCCCAAGTATTGACGAACCCGACCTACAGAGCTTAACAAAGTTACAATACACTACAACTACAGCTTACCTAGCCAGTAACGACATCTTAGAGATTTTATTTTCTCTAAACGTCCCGTCTTGACGAATGAAGCTATTACTCTAGCTTGAATTGATGAATTTCCTTTTGTCATGACGGGAAAATATATACTCGGATCGAGACGGCCTTGAAACAGAGACCGCCTTTAAGTTGACTTACAGGCAAAGTTCTATATTCAATCACATTGTAACTTTGGGACGTAATAAATAATCCAGCATAACTTCCACCAAGCTATTTAACATAGAGCTGCAATAATTCTTTATCTTTCTACTCCCGAATCGCCCGTCGTACTTTTACCAGCCATGTCGAATCCGGCTCTTAATTTCGTCACTTTCAACCAAGATCACAGCTGCCTAGCTGTCGGTACGTCCCAGTCCTCACTAGATTTACTTCGCTCTTAGTACCATATCCTAGAAGTATTAAGCCCTAAGGAGACTAACAACTTTAGGAACCTCCAAGGGATTTCGTATCTACCATACCGAGCCGTTCTCCAAGATCTTCAGTAGCGATGATGGCAATATTACTATTGTTGAGATGCTTTTCTCAACATCGCTCGTCGCTTTCGTACTCTCACCTCGCCACCTCATAGTGCAGAATACAAAGCGCGCATCGGTTATATGCGAACTTACCTTCCCATCCGCTATCCTCGCCGTCCGTCTAAACCGCAAGCGATTAGCCGTCGTACTCGAGGATGAAATCTACCTCTATGACATAACTACCATGTCGCTCCTCACTAATATCGCGACCTCCCCGAACCCCGCCGCTGTCTGCGCATTGTCGCCTTCCCACGAGCATTCCTACCTCGCTTATCCTTTACCGAAACCTCGAGAAGATACCCAGGATAAACGACCTTCGCATGCGCCACCAGCTTCTCTCTATGCTCCCGTAACATCCGGAGATGTCCTTATATATGATACGTTGACTATGCGGGCTGTTAACGTGGTCGAGGCCCATCGCTCTCCCTTATCCTGTATTGCGCTCAACAGCGAAGGGACTCTGCTAGCAACAGCTAGCGAGACAGGGACGATTATCAGAGTATTCTCGGTGCCTCGTGGAGAGAAACTATTCCAATTTAGGCGTGGAACATATCCTAGCACGATCTATAGCATGTCCTTCAACATGGCGAGCTCGCTTCTCTGTGTCTCTTCTACTTCAGATACCGTACACATATTCCGACTCCAGCAGCCTGGGCCTAACGGTAGCAATGCTGAGGCACAGAGCCCTACATCTCCTCGGAAGGATCGTTGGTCTCGTAGCCGTAGCTACGATAGTGGTAACGATTCGTCTAATAGCGCGCAGGGCTCTCCGCGCAGCGAAGCAGCTGATGCTCCTAAGACATCGACGGCGAACAATCCAGTTGCGAATAGGAGACAGAGCGGGTCATTCAGTAGCATACTACGTCGGTCGTCGCAGATTATGGGCCGTAGCGTAGCGGGTGTTGTAGGAAATTATCTGCCGCAGACTGTGACGGAGATGTGGGAGCCGCTGCGCGATTTTGCATACATCAAGATACCAAAGAGCACTCGCGTCGGCGTAGCGAGCAACCAACAGTTGCGCAGCGTCGTGGCGATGAGCAGTAGCAGCCCACAAGTGATGGTTGTTACCAACGACGGCGGCTTCTACGTATTCAACATCGACATGGATCAAGGTGGAGAGGGGTACCTCGTAAAGCAGTTCTCGTTCGTGTTACCCCTTACTTCTCTTCTCTCTCTCATTCTCTCTTCTTGAGTCTCAGCTCTCAGCTCTCAGCTAAACTAACCATTGTTTGCCAACTTATAGTGTCCTCGATAGCGACGATAAGCTCGATGCCTCGAATTATGGACCTTAGGGCAGTCATGCTGGCCCGAGTAATTCCAAGAATCCCGGCCAGAGACGCAGATTATTACTAGAGACGAAGGAGGTGAAAGGTGACGATGGTAATGAGGGACCCGAGGACGAGAGTTGGCTGCACGTCAGCAAAGGAAAGGATGGGCATTCGGACGGCGTTTAATGGCTAGGTTAGGTAGTTCTGGGGAGGGAGGGAGGAGCATGGGGGGTTTTTTATTTTTATTTTTTTTATTTTTCCCCTTGCCCTTTTCTTCTTAATTCTACGACTCGTCTCTTACACCTCGAAGTGCCTACCACATCCGAGGAGAAGCTCATACCCCAGAGGAAGGAGGATTTGTAATTTTTTTTTTTTGTCTGGAGGAGAGAGAGCGTCGTGTTTTACGTCTTTGCATTAAGCGTTTGGCGTCCATGCGGCCTGGGATTTTTATTAGTTACGAGTTTACCGAGTATCAATCTTCATCTATTACAATCCCGAATCAATAGTTTACTATTTTTAATATTTTGTTTTTCTTCAACGACAAAGAGGGACGAAAGGAGACGTAATTGGACAATAATAGTGGCAATTCTTGGAACGCACACGTCAGCATTGAAGCGGAACTAGACTTGTAAATATCTGTCTCGTCCGCTCTGGCTTGATTCCTATCTCTATCCCTAGCCCTATTCTCTTTCCCCTTGACAGTCTTTATTCAAATGATCTCCCATTTCCAGTAAAACCCCTTATGAATTTCCTTCCAGTCCATACCAATCCATCGACCCACCAAATACATGTACGTACGTACAATTTACTACAAACAGTGCTACAATGAGCAATCCAAACGTAAGTAAGCTAGGTACCTGGTTTTCTTCACCCAACCATCAACCATCAAGATCCATCCATTTATAGATGGTAGAAATGGGTAGGAGAAGATAACCCTGTCTCTCCAAAAACCCAACGACGCCGCGGCGCCAAGTAGATGAACTGATGATGCAACAGGGCCCAATAGGTAGGTTGCCCCCCCTGAATTTTCAGCCTCTCTCTCTCTCTCTCCTTTCCGTCTTTCTCTTTCTCCCTTTCTTCCGAGATCAAGAGAAAATGCAAATGATAAAGAATAAAAAAAAAAGTTTGTGTCATGTCGTACGGGTCGTTAGAAATTTGAGAGGAAAAAAAAAAGAACTTCACAGTAGTGCCTCCCCTTCCTGCTTGGTCCGCTAACGCCAACTCCCGGAAACGAAGCACAAGTCCATGTCATAAGGAAGCCATAAAACGGGATGCGTATGGGTGAAATGCCATCCACCTTTCCCTTCGAGTTTAGCTAATCAATCGGGCGTGGGAATAGGTAGAGATGGAGGTGACAGTGAGTGAGTGAGTGTGAGACTCTATATCACTCCTGTGCCACACCCAGTACTTCCATCCAATTGTGATTTTGCTGTAGTAGGCGAACCACAATTGAAGCTGCTCCTGGGAAAGGTCAAGTCCGGAAGTCCGGAATAGACGGCTTTGCTTTCCAACGCAAAACCCTTGTATTGTAGGTAAGTTTCTCAGTATGAGCGGCACCAATGCAAAGCCACCCACGAAATTCGAAACCCACCATGTCAGAATCAGCAGCTCTGCCAGCAGCTCTGCCTAAGTATGCAAGATTTATCTCGCATAAGGACGATTCATGGACGCGATCTCCCGCGCGATCTCGCCCCACTCAAGTTCCCTCCGGATACCACCACCAACAGCAGCAGCGTTATTAGCAGCAGCAACATCGGCATTATTTCCAGCTCGCTGTTGTTGTTGTTGACGTCCGCGGAGCTGCAGCATCTCCTCCCACTTGAGCAGCTCGTAGGCGAACCGCAGGTGCGGCTGGATGATGACGTTGAGCCGCCGCGCGCGCACGAAGCAGTACGCCCGCGGGAACGACAGGTCCAGCGCCCGCATCACCTCCGCGATGCAGATCGTCGCGCTCCGGGACACGCCCACGCGGCAGTGGACTAGGGTCGCGGTGCCGTTCCGGCGGCCGCGGTCTATTTAGGGGGGAAAGTTAGCGAGCGGGTCTTGGAGACTAAAATAAATAACGCATATAGTAAAAAATAAAAATAAAAGGAGAAAGAGGAAAAAAGGGGGGAGGGAATATGAGAAGGATGATGGGGGATGAACTATGCTAAATAATACGCTAGGGCAAAAACAAAAAGAAAAAATGGTGAAAAATATCGAATAATAATGTAAAATATAACCAAAACGTACCGATAAACTCCAAACACTTCTCGAACTCCTTGGTCAGCGGATCGATGCCGTTGTCCTGGACCTTCTCGACGACGAGCACGTTCTCGGGGCCCCAGGCCTCGAGGTCGCCGTCGCGCCAGGTGGCGGTTTCGCCGACGCTTAGGAGCTGGCGGATGCCGAGGGCGCGCAGCAGGTCCGGGTTGTTGGCGTGGCCCAGGTTGCCCAGGTACATGTAGTCGAGGATGCGGCTGGGGAAGGAGCCGTCGAGCGCGGCGAGCCACCGCGGCTCGTCCCGCACCAGCCGCGTAATCTCCAGCAGGCTCTTGTCGCCGCACACCGGCGACTCGCGCAGCAGCCGCGGCGCGATCGACGTCAGCAGCGACACGTCCGTCGGGTACGCGAAGAAGTTCCGCTTCACCTGCGTGTGCAGGTCCATCCACGCCGCCGCCACCGGCCGCCCCGTGCTGTAGCTGAAGTACGCGATCCCCAGCATCGTCGACTCCGTGTACCCGTCCGTGCAGTGGATCAGGATCCGCCGCGGCGGCCGCATCTCGACTTCCGTCACCGTCGCCGTCACCGTCGCCGACGACGATGCGTCCGACATGTTCGAGTCTCCGTCGCCGTCGGTATCCGGCCTCGCGACGGGCAAGGTCCCGTGCGACAGGTGCCAGAGCCACTTGCACGTGTCGAGGATGCCGTCTGCTTCGGCGTGCGACCACGTGGGCGCGAGGATGCTCCCGGACGAAGGGAAGTCGAGGTGGTAAGGCCGCCGCTTGTGTCCCTCCTTACCTTCCTCCTTGCCCTCCTTGCTATTATGATTCGCGTTCTCGGCGATGGCCTGCAGCGCGCCCGGGTTCAGCCGGCCGAGGTCGCTGCACTCGAGCAGGACGTCGTAGGCCATCTCCTCGTCGCTGCCGGACTCGGGCGTGGGCCCCATCCACACGTTGCGCGAGATCTCCGTCGCCTTGGTCATCGCGTACATCTCCAGCCGCTCCTGGTGGAAGAAGTCAACGACGGCGCCCGTGAGGCGGCCCGCCGAGTCAACGGCGACGATCTCCTCGTGCTTCTCTTCGAACTCGCGGAACGGGCTGACGCAGATGAACGTGCTGTACTTCGGGATGGACGAGAACGAAGACGAAGACGACTCGTGCTGATGCTGATGCTGCTGATGCTGCTGCTTCTTCCGCCACTTGACCTGCGCCGACGCGATCTCCCACGCTACCTTGCGGACCAGCCCGGCGTCCTCGCCGTACACCACGATGTCGGAGGTAATGGCCGTCTTGGCGGCCTGGATCTGGAAGTTACGCACGGAGAAGCCATCCTTGGGGTCGACGTCGATAAACTCACCACCACCACCACCTGTGGAGGAGCCCGACTGCATGAACTCGGCGGGCGCGATGGCCCCCTTCAGGCGCGAGACGGCGAGGTCGCCGTCGGCCTTGACGAGGGTGATGCCGCGCAGGCAGGTGGGGGTCTGGCGCGGGGACTTGCTGCGGGCGGTGAAGAAGGCCTGCTGGATGTGGTTGCTGGGGTGCAGGCCGTGGAGCCAGGGGAAGACCAGGGCCGGGTCCGGCAGCGGCTGCCTGGACAGGTGGTCGAGGGCGGCGGCGACGTCAGCGGGGGAGATCTTGTGGAGGCATAATAGCGACCCCGATCCCGATCCCGAGTCTGATTCTGATTCCAACCGGTCGAATTTGTCTGGTGGATAGAGTAGAGATGATGAGGAAGGGGAGGAAGAGGAGGAAGAGGAGAAGGAGTGACGCTGCTGCTGTTCGTGCTCGCGACCTGGTGACGGCGGGGGTGTGTCAGGCTCACGGGCTGGGCCGGTGGGACAGACTGGAATGTGCTTGTTAGGGATGGGCGCAGGCGCAACGGCGGCGGCAGCGGCAGCGCTAGAAACCTGTTGGGCGTTGATAGTCTCGAGAGCTATTGGAGAAGATAAGGTGACGATGCCAGAAGAGGAGCGATGTGGAGGGATTGGTCTTGGTAAGGCGACAGTCGTCATCGTCCTGCTCATAGTAATGAATTTCCGGTTTTCTTTTTCTTCTTCCTTTTTGTGTAGTTATTATTCTTCTATGTTGTTGTTGTTTTACAATGTAAGTTGATAAATCTCCCTGGTGGCCGCGTGCCTCATATCGGGGACAAGAAGATTATTATTAACCCCTAACGCTCGAGCACCAGGGGTCCAGTGGCGTACCAAGGCGCAAGGAAATTGCGGGGGAGGGGACTGAAGGGACGAGAGAGTGAGAGAAAATAGAGAGAGAGATGAGGTATGTAAACGGTGGGGTGTTTGAAGTTGATGATGGAACAATAAGTAGGGTATTGATTGGCGATAGGTATGATGAGCAGCCAAGCCAATACAGGTTGTCCACTGTCCACTGTAAATCCCAAGTCAAAGTGTGAACTGTAAGCTGCGAAGGGTACGTTAGCAGCTTTCGTGTAAGTCGTGGTTGATCGCTACGTTAGGTAGTTATAAAATGCAGCCAAGTTTTAAGAATTGGTTATGTGTAAATAGTTCTTTTCATTGGTGTTTAATGGGATGATCTCATCGTGTGTCCCCATATGTCATTGTTGTTTGACAATAATAAAAGAGAGTGAAAAGAGGTGGGTGGGAGATGGCATAGCAATAGGAAACACGGGAAGAATGATATGAGGGGGGAACGGATAATGGGGGCACAAGAATGAATGCCTTACATACCTGGAAGATGAACGAGAAAGTTGGAGATGGAGAGGGAAAAAGGGCAGAACGAGTTGAAAGGCCAAAAGGGTATGGGAATGGATTAAGAAAATAAAAAATAAAATAGAATAAAAAGTGTAGAAATTACCTCTTTCAATTTGAGGAGAAAATATTTAGATTCAGATTCAGATTTAGATGTAAACTTATGGTAGATAAGAAAGATGTAGATATAATGGTTCAAAGGGTGTCCAAGGTTGGGGAGGGTATAATAGAGAGAACCAGAGAATCAGAGAATCAGACTGGTTTCACGCATCTGAAGGCGTTGATTGGAGTTAACAGCCTTATCTCACATAGTACACCCCTGATGATGCATCCCAGTGCCGTGCAGTTCCCACCCCCAGCAAATGGAATGTAGCAAGCTATAGGTACCAGCGGTAGATAAGACGACTTGATTGACGGATACGTGAAATGGTGTGAGATTGGATCAGATGGGATCATGGGTTTAGTTTTATGGGCGGTTTTTATCCCTCCTGCTCCCACTTTACCTACTTACATACTTGGGAGAAAGTATCTTTTCATTTTAAATAGTTAGTTATCCCCTTTTAATCTTCTTTATAAAATGGATCTACTTTCCCACTTTATTCCCTCCTCACAGTCCTCACAGTTTATGTGTATTGTATATCACCACCGGCTCTAAGGTTGTTTCTTCTTTCATGTACAATACGTCGGAATAGAGAGAGAGAGATGCTGCTATCACCCCATAGCTACCTAGTTCTACCTCTGGCTGCAGGAGGATAGCATATTAACAAATTAATGTAAAGCAAAGCATTTCGTTTGCTCACGGGTTGCCAAGACTGGAACAGCATTATTACCTAGCCTTGGCCTAACTCTATCTACCCCGTCTACCCCGTCTACCCTGTCTAGCCTCTGCCCTTTGAGGCCATGTCTTTCCCCTCTAAAGAGGGTCCTTAACGTTGATCAATGCCGGGGCGGACTGCATACATACCTAGTACGGTATGTATGTATACAACCCCTGCTCAAACAGATCACGTTCAGACATCCCGGTCCCCAGCAAAGCCTAGAAGGCCACATGGAAATGGACAAAGGTCTGAAAATGGGATGTGCTATGGATGACTTCGACAAAGAGGATATACATATCCTTTCAGGTAATCCCTCAGTCCCTGTTGGAACAAGATCCGATATAAGTTTCTCCTCGGATTTGCTTTTCCTATATGTATATATGTGCAGTAAATACCTAAGACATATGGACAGGCATTGGCATTTTATATGGGCTGGACGATCCTGTTACGCTCCAAACCCCAGAATTGTAAGCATGTGGCTTTTCATAGGTTGTCTTGCCGCCTCCACGGACATGATGAGTTTCGAGAATGTAAAGTAATAGGGCCACGACGACGTACATATAACGGCAGCGTAGTACCAACTATACACATTGTGCATATGTGAGCTGCGAAATGGGGTGTATGTCAGTGAAACGAGGAGGCAATAACCAACGTTGTCAAAGAGCCAAAATTGCAGCATCAGATACCAAAAAGAGGTTTCGTTGGCCAATGGAGGAGAATGAAAAGAATTAAACCCCGCCACCCAAGGTGGCACACTACCTATTCTCTATCGGTGTGTTGCCATAAGGTACTGTCATATTCGCGCGGCTAGGGTTCCATTGACAACCCGCTTTCTCGACCCAATCGTCAGGGACTTACATAGTATTAAACAAGACGACCAGTAGGATCATCGATTTGGTTGTACTGGTTCTGCAATACACATCAGGGCTGTTACCACACTCGCCACCACCACTCTTCGCCTTCTCCCGTTGTCAAAGAACTTCCATACAAGAGAAGATTCAAAATTTCAACACTAATGCATACCTTCTTCTCGGCTGCATATATAATTGCATCCATGAATGCCTAATGTATGTACTATTAAGCATGTGGTGCATTAGTGATATTACCTAGTGCCTCACATCCGGGGAACTTCCTCCAATTCGGCCCATATCCCTTGCCTCCACTCGCGCGTCTAGGTACCTAATATATTAAATCTCTCGATGGCCTTACTAAGAGGACAAACACATGTTTATGTTTAGAAGATGGCGCTGGTCACTACCTACATAGTACCTAGGCAGAGTCAGCATGCATATTTGTCGAGAATTACTTAGGTAGCTTGTGAGAGGGCGCCTAGAGCAGCACCAGGAGAGTTGTATGAGGAGTATAATTGAACTTCAAACTCCAAGCTCCTAATCGACCCTGTCTTAACTTTCTGTTAAACTGTCTTCAGCCAATTTATATTTCAGCACCGAACGTTCTACTAGGTACCTCAGGTAGGTATGTAGGACATCTGAGTTTTTGACAGGCCTGCATATTCATGTATGCCAAGGATAACTTGCGGCTACAATGCAGAAGTCCGTCCACAGAGCTTATTTATTTATTTATTTATTTTTCCCTTTCTGAAAAGGGCAATGAGACTACAACGTTCGGATCGTACACGTATTCGAAGCAGGCTAAAGCTAGGTAGGGGAGGTAGGTTACTCAAATTGATATAGTAAGTGGCATCTGAAATATTTAAAGACAAAGTTAAGGATATTGAAGATGGGATGGAAGATAGGTACGACCAGGTCAACCAGGTGACTGCCCTGATCTGTGACGGGAACCGATAATAAATGACAAACGTGAAAACGGATCTAACGAGATCTCGGAAGAGCAGCTGAACCTAGCAGCCTTGGAGATTCGAAAAGCGTGGCTCGGGGTGCGGGGGTGACAGCCACAGCGGGGTGAAGCGCCTAATTACCTACCTGAGGTAAGTACACCTACCTATTACAGGTAGGTATCTAAGGTAAGGGTTCGGTGCTGGCAGCAGGGCAGCAGGCAGCTACAGAAGGTACAATACAATACAATAGGGCTAACCTACTATGGAGGTAGTACCTCGTCCTTGCATCATCATTCAATTCCGTTCCATTCCATTTTCATTTATTAATCTATCTTCAGCAACCCGCGTCAACCACGTCAACCACGTCACCGCCGCATACATACCTAGTATAGAAGAAAACTCGTGCATGTGCATGTGCATGTGGTACCTAAGAAGAGTCTTTGAGGTACCTTGAAGAAACCTCGAAGCTTTTAACGACTTATCCAACTCAATTCGACCTTCGGATTCAATCTTTCTATGCATCCTCTCCTCTGTCGTCAGCTTCCATTCAGCTCCAGCTGTTTCCGAGAGTGCTTGGAGTTTTATTTGATTCCCGGCTTTCCAACCCTCGCAACCCTCGTTTACCATGAAGCTTACCTCTTTTTCTATCTCCGAGTAGCCGTTTCTCCCAACCTAAGCAACCAACCACCTAAGCGGTCAGCCGAAAATAGAAATCATATACCATACCTAGGCAACCTCCATCTTATACAGCATACCTACCTGGTACCTACATGATTCAAAGCATGCATTCATTAATACAGTTAACTACCTGGTACCTATCTCCCGCTAGTTAGTGCTTGTTGTTCGCGATAGACACTTTTCTCCCAATTTGAAGGTGTGGAGGGGAGATAAAAGCTTGAGACCTTGAAGTCTCTAGAAGTAGTTCTGGGAGGTAGATAATCTAATACGAACCGATAATGCCTTCAACAACTACAATCAATAACTACTTCGGAGACCTTCCGAAAGCACATAACCGTGGCTCGAAATGCCGGCTCGCCCCGATATCACATCATCCCTGCTCTGATGTCGACGATATTCCGCCGGTAAACGCCCAATACTTTTACGCGTCTTCTGTTCCCATCGATGAGCCCCTTTCCTCAGCGTCTGTTGCTGCTGCTGCCGATCCTAAATCATTCAGGAGTAGTCTTCGTCCCTTCTCGCCAGCAGACAATAACGCGATAGAGAAAGCTTGGTTGAGTCTTGCTTCGGATGTCTACCGCCAGAACCACTCCAATGCCCGCCAGAACCGTCCTCCCAGCCCAGCTCTTGCCAAGGCAAATAACGAGAAATTACGTAGTATCATACGCCATCTAGCTGTGGAACATGCTGAGAAGCATGCACGCGAAGGCCTCTCGCGAGAAAAGGTTCAGCCTTTGACTGAGGCCCTGCCGGACCCGGACAATGCTGCGCTTTTATGCTGCAAGGAGCTTATTGTTGATGTTGGAGTTGCTTTACGGTCATCCTTCTGTGCTGTTGCTAGGCGGAGGCAGCAAGAGCTTAACCGAGATATGGTTGCTCAAGCTGTGATGGCTGAGATGAATACGTTACATGCCGAGTCAACAACTTCTGTTACGGAACGGCGCGCGCCACCTGGTAGCAACACACCTTCCATCCAGTCACCGGTTGGCTCCGTGATACGATCAGATCAGGCTAATGAACGGCCCAATAGCCGGCCTTCAAGCATGATATCACAATCTCCCGCGACAGGCCCGTATCCCTCCATCGATAGAAGCGCTAATGTACCAGTCCCTACCAAGTCTTCCTTAGTGGATGACGGTATCTCAGGTAGACCTTTTGTCCGCGTCGGTACCCCGGAGACTCCCATCAATTCCCCACCGGCATCTTTTCCGAGAGCGAACACTTTTCAACCTAGCAGGCTTTCTGAGGGGATGGGGGTTGAAGAGGCTAGGCCACCTCGTCCTACTTCAATAGAGCATCCTCCACCCTCTCCTAAGCCTGTGAAAGCGCCCAAGGTAATTTCGCGCGAAGTGACGGTGGGTGTCTCCAGGTTACACGAAGTATCTCTTCCCGCGTTGCAGATGAAACCTATATACTGGTCTCCTGTTAACGATATCGCTACCGTTCTTCGTGCTACTTGGTTCTACAGGTATTATAATCAATGCTCCAATAAGCAGAGAACATTCACTAATGTAAAAATAGAGATGATATGAGACCTGTTGATCCCACAGTAGCTAATCAACTAGAAGCTGGATATAGAGAGCTTAAGCCTCACACGGAGACGTGGAACGACGAGCTCAGATGTGCTGTAGAGGTTGGTCCTCTAGGTGAGGAAAAAGTTTCTCACCCCTTGTGGCCGAATCCACCAGGAAAAGCCCCTAAAAAGGTGGACGATTTGGGAGAGCCACCCATATCTAGCAATCCCTTTTGTGCAGCCCGCTGTTTCCATGGAGAAGCGGCGGCTGAGGGTAGTTTGATACCGTCTCCAAACGAAGACAACTCTTCTCCTGTTCCAACCCACAAGAAGTTTGAACAGTATCATGTAATATACAAAGACCAGACGACAGCGTATTTACTAAAGCCGAGCTTGAAACCTTCGGCATATTACGGCCGACGCCCAGTAGCAAAGATAATGAGAGGCATCACCGTCGGCATCCCGGTAGTAAGAGGTTTTGACTATGAAGTGTGGATGAGAAAACATAAGAAGCAGGACCAGCAATATCAACAAATACTTGCTGGGCTTAACAATGCACAAGAAAATGATACGGATGATGTCTGTCCAGCCTGCAAGGCTGAAGAAGAGCGTGCGCAGGTCACAGACCTGGTCTTAGTCGTCCATGGCATTGGCCAAAAACTGGCCGAGCGAGTAGAGAATTATCACTTTACTCACGCCATAACTGCATTTCGCCGAGCTATTAATACCGAGCTTCATAGTGACGCGGTTAAGGGGGCATTGAGACGGGGTCAAAACTCCATCATGGTTCTTCCAGTGAATTGGAGGCAAAACCTGTCGTTTGAGGACGGCGGACCAATGAAGGAAGAAGATAAAGAGCACTATACGCCTGGAAACTTCAGCTTGAAGGATATCGAACCTAAGACGATCCCTGCCGTCCGGAGCATGATATCAGATGTTATGTTCGATATCCCCTTCTACATGTCACATCATAAGCCAAAGATGGTAGCAGCCATGGTCAGCGAGGCGAATCGCGTTTACAGACTCTGGTGTCGAAATAACCCTGGCTTTGCGGAGAAGGGGCGGGTTCATCTGATCGGCCATTCGCTAGGCAGCGTCATGTGTATTGAAGTGCTATCGAGACAACCGACTGTTCCGCCACCTTTGCAGCTAACAGCACCGCTTCAAATAAACCATTTTGAATTTGACACAAAGAATCTGTTTCTTCTCGGCAGTCCTGTCGGGTTCTTTTTGCTATTAGAGAGAGGTGCACTGCTACCAAGAAAAGGCCGCCGGAAACCAGGGGCAGACCCGGACGATATTGTGTCGAAAGACGTCGTTGGGGAAGCGGGTCTGTTTGGATGTATCGCCGTGGATAATATCTACAACATTATGGCTAGGGAAGATGCCGTCGCATATCTGCTCAACGGCACTCTGGATCCGAAGTACGCGGCCAGCTTGAAAACAGCATACGTGCCGAGTACATCGACTTCTTTTCTGCAGTCTATGGGACATGCGATGATGAGCATCGTCCCCGGGGTTGGATCTTCCACGCCGGCTAACGGGGTCAACCCAGCGATCCCGAGGCCGACGACGATGCGTCTCCCTTCGCAGCTCGAGCTCGAAGTCCACGATTTCACGCGCGAGGAGATTGCCGAGAAGAAGGCTTTCCTCCTCAACGACAACGGACAGATCGACTACTTCCTGCGGTCGGGCGGCGGCCCGCTCGAGCTGCAATACCTGAACATGCTCAGCGCGCACACGAGCTATTGGGTAAACCAAGATCTCATCCATATGCTGTGCATGGAAATCGGACGGAATCCCGGAAAGGCGAATACGCTACCTGCGATGAGAGCCGTGAAGGCTACGAAGCGGGTCATTCCTTCGGCGGTTTGAATATAATTATTCAGGTTAGGTACCTGCCTAGGTAACTATGTGTTATTTTACGAATTATATTTGCATTTGCATCTTTTGGTTTTTGGCCTGGAGTTCTTCAGGTGTGTTTTCTTTATTATGGGCTTAGACTTCGGTTGATGACATAGAGACAGACGGAGGCAGACTTCGGATGCCATACCAATTTGCATGAAGAATTATAGTTGTAGTAGATAGTGTACCTGAATCAATGTTGTACAGTACGCTGAAGAATCTTACCATCTACGCCATTGTCTTGTTTACGGTGTTATCTTATGGGTGTTGCTTGTTGCTGTTATTCGACTGTATACAGCTTATTCCCTTCGAAAACGCAGTTCATTGATGCCAGGTATGTTCCCCGAATACTTTGTGGCCAGGCACAAGAAAGAGCGTACTATGTTTATCATATTTTGCTGTCTCTAGTTACCCTACTTCTACACAAGAGACCCTGGATAAGACGAGGCGATTCGAAAGCTCATAGCGCACCGCTTCATCGTCTCGACCGCCACCAGCAGCGGCAACGGCAACAGTGTTCTCGCCATGTTATATCCATCCGAGGTCAATGTTTGGTGCTAGCAACACAAGAAGTGAAAAAACTTTTTTAAAAAAGGGGTCCAGGGTACATACAACTGGACCTTGAAGGTCTTGATTCATCGGAGAGATAGAGCCGGACTGGCGCGGACGGTGTATTCCTCTCGGACAAGACTACTTACCTAGGTAGAGGTAGGTATACAACGGCACATGGACACACGTTCTACAGCTTGGCCAGCGAAATTTTGGACGGAACTACATACGTTAGGTACCTACATACATACATGCATGCTGTACACACACGCCGACATACACACAGACATATTCGACTAACTGCGGTAACCAGTTGCTTCTCTTTATTCTAGCCTGGGACTCATGTATCTCGGCCGGCATAATATAATAAATACAGAGGCCATAACCATAACCTCGCGCATACGTACCTACCTACATACCTCCCACGCCTACAACGGGAGGCTCGGAAGCGATCCGGTATGTATAGTATTTCAGGATGGCCGTGGGGGTTAGGTTAGCTTAGCTTAGGCTAAGCTTTCCTAGATAAGTATCTATATGCAAGATAGGTAGGTACCTAAACCCAGGCCAGCCGCCAGTTGCCGGTTGTGAATGTGATGTCTATCACATGTCGCTAACCCGGGCATCTAGGTTAGATACCTTAGGTTAGGTACATACCTTACACACATACATATAGGTAGGTACATACCTAACATAGGTATATATCGTCTGCTGCGTGGCATGGTTACACGTGGTGGCGCGGGCATTGATATGCTTGTTGCTGTTTCCCCTTGCAGCGGCGGCAGCAGCAGCAGCAGCAGTAGCAGTAGCAACGTGCTATATTGTATGTATGTAGGTAGGTAGGTATGTATATCATATCCCCCCTCCCCCCTTTGTCACCGGCAGGTGTTGGCATAGCCTAGCTACGTACCTAACCTAAGGCAGCCTGCTTCGTTGCTGCTCAGGGGTCGGGCTATTCGCGGTATATTACTGCGTTTCGAAACTATGGTTCTATTATCATAGGGCCTAGGAGCTGTCTACGCTGCGATACCTACCTGGTACCTACCTGTTATCCCAGCTGTGACGAGCTGGTTTTCACCGGTTTAAAAACCCCCGGGCTGGAGTTGGGGGCTAAATCGTGACGGATTAACGAGTGCTATAGGCTATTGGGATCCCTATCGAGAAGGGGGAGTAGGGAGTAGGGAATAGGGTGTGATGTGTGATGTGTATATCGGAGACGCTGTTAGAATTTCGTGCCGAGTCTGATTGTCTAGCGGGAAAGTGAGTGAGGCTGGATTTGGATGATCTGTCTAGGTTAGGTACCTTCTACCAAGGTTAGGAGACACTGCTAACAAAGTTGGTAGATGGAATGAACCCCTTGGCATCTGTCCGGGTATCTCTCCGCTGAGGTCTCTGTGCTATGTGAGTGTGGGTGTGGGAAGGAATATACTATACATAGCATGGCCAACTGCATTGTTGGGCTTTAGTCTATCGGGATGTAGTTGCTCGCCGAATGAAGGCTTGAACTAGAAGTTTCCCGAGACGGTACAATAACTATTTTACTAGATCTAAGGCAATGGCACCAGAGAGCTGTGTATCAAGACCTTCATATGATGCCTTAGACCAAGATTACTTACTCGAAGAGCCTTTAAGGAAATTCATCTCCTCAGCCTCCTAAGCATTAGGTACATTCGCTTGCCGATTTAATACAAGAGAAATATCATGTTCAGCCTTATCTTAGCCCTATGTTTACTGCCTGCTTCTCGAGTCTGGACTACTACTACCACTACTACTACTACATGCAATACCATCCGCGTGCGTACCCATACATGCGCGCTGTACGTGCCACCCCATGGCATAAAACAACATAACACATTCACACATCGAAACCGATTGGATCTTCCGGCTCACTTCCCCACTCCCGCCTCTTTCCAACGATTAAAACAAACGTATCGGACCCAAGACAGACTGATAGATTAAGCTCGGTTGGACAGATGAAATAGGGCTGGCCGCGCCGCAAGGCTACGGTAAATACTACTCATTACCAACAAACACCCCGGCCTTATTTATGTTAGAGGTACGTACGAACCAACATGGGTTGCTTTGGGCGAATGGTAATGGACGGATATCCGGATTCGGTACGCGAATGGAAACTCGAGCAGCATTGTGTTATACCTTAGGTAAGGTTGGGTAGGTAGGTTACCTGTTAAACAAGATATATTTGCGCTTGTATTGAGAAGGATGAGGCAGTAAAAATATGTGACGGGATGAGTCTTCATGCGTCCCCGTTAGCGAGTTGGTGTGTGTATGTATGTATTACATAGAAAAGGCTTTTTATTTTCTTTCTCTGGACTATTCCCGCCCTGGTAACCCAGTTCATACGCCATACGCCATACGCGTGGGATATATGTAAACATGCTATGTTATATTATGTTAGGTCTGTGTTAGATTAGCGATACTGTTAGACTCCTCGTTCGCGCTGGCTAGGCTAACCGCATACCTACCTCCTAAACCAGGTACCTACAGTACCTAGTTGATAGACAAGATCTACAATCACACAGTCCCGGCCGCTGCGCTGTGTCAAGAAGCGAGACGAACCAACGCCGCCTTTCGGGGAGTTCTTTCCTGCTCGCTCGCTTGCTTCAATGGTTGCCTTGGGGGGAGAGACGGACCGCAAGGAAGACTTCGCCACTCTCCCCAGCCTTAAGGAATCAAAATCCTTCAGACCCCTTTCTATAGGCCTATCCTATCATCTACTACCTACCTACCTACCTACTTACTCAGCCTAGGTATCTTAGGTAGGAGGTAGGTACTGTACCTGTCCCCATGCACTTACATACATACCTTAGGTAGACTACTATCTTCATGCTCGCCGACCTCAATTAGCCCGAGCATCTTGATATTATTGTTATTGCGCAGAAACTGTCTGATTATCTTGCCAATGCGGTTCAATGCAAATCCAGCTCGCACACCCTCGCCTCCCATTCCCCCTTCTTCCTCCTCCCCATCTCGACCACGCGCCAGAGCGAATAGAAGTCAAAGTTCCGTCACGAGGAAAGAGAGGAAAAGGGGGGAGGGGGGCAACGATTATAGCTACAGAGATGTATCCATCACCCCATTCCCATAGCAGAGAAGGGGGAAAGGAGAGAAGGAGAGGGGGAAAAAAGGGGGGGGCTAGAATTTCCCCTTTGCACACTTTCATATTCCTTTTCCCGCTCTTTTGCCCTCCCTCCTTAACCCTAGGAATGGGAATAGGTAGTTCAAATTCAAGTAGGTAAGGTAAGGTAAGGTACCTTAGGTACCCCCTAAGTCATAGAAGTCATAGCGTGATTTGCCATCCTCCCTCCCTCCCTCTCTCTCTCTCTCTAGTATATGCTCAGGGAAGGGGGGGGGGGGGGGGGGGGGGGCAAGATAGCCCATCCTAACATTTTGAAAAAAACAAAAAAACAAATAGGCCAGGCAAAAAAGAGCAGAGCACGACCGGGGAAGT